CCTTCATGGGAAAGAGATGTATGAGATAACATGGCAATGTTTACCCACCATGCATGTCCATGCTCAATAGAGATGTCAACTACACATTACATGAGGACTAGTTCTCTCCTTCAGTCAATGTATGCGTAAGCAACAGAACACATGATCTCACTGATGCAGGAAAATAAATTAATTTATGTCCTTAACTGATTGTTTGATCCATGGTATTGCAAGCAGCTTGTCGAAAGCTCGGCCAGCTGCCTCAAGGTCCACAGTTAAAGCACCTGCTTCTGTAAGAGGCCCACTGATACCAATAGCACAGCATTAAAAAAAAGTAGCCAATATGGGTGATTGACATTCAGATCATCTTTTAATTCTAGAGATTACTCTCATAATCTTAACATCAACATGCTACTAAACATCATAGAGAGCAGCAGCCAATAGAAAAATGACTCACTTGGCCTTCGTGAAACTTGCAACAAGACTTGAACTTGTGAAAAACATCAAATATATTTCTCTGTTGAATAAAGAAAGAAATGGGGAGCCTTACAAACACTGTAGTTACTGCAAGATTTCATACATGCAGTGACATATTTATAACCGTAATCCAATTATGGAAAAAAGGACCTCTTTGCCTCTGCGTTGCCGTATGTCATTGACAGCCATTTTTGTAGTTTTTCCTCCTCAAGTCGTCCAGTTATCTGTCCTCGGTCCGAGCTCTAAAAAGAGACATTAGATATTTACCATTAAAGTCAGCCAATGGACATGACAAAATTATTATTTAAATGTAAAAAAAACATTTTTTTGATTCAAGTGGACATTCAATCCAGGTAAAGAAACAAAAAAATCTACACATTACCTGTGTAGGTGAAGTGTAAGTGAAGTTTGAATTCCACCCAGCCGATATTTTCAAGTCTGCTTAAACAAATAAAAAAAACAATCAAAAACCATTTACAAATGTCCTTTAAATCTGTCTTACAAAACCGCCTACATAACAGAACACAAGTTCCCTTTCAAATTAATTTACTTGAATATTCTTTTTACTGCCAATGGTTGTGACTGTTTCTAGGAGGAAAATTTAAGGAAAGATCAGGTCAACATCATTCTTCTTAAAATCCACTGAACACACAGCCCATACATACACACCTTTGGGTATGGATGCTTCACTATCAGTGGTCCATGGAAGTTGCACCAGAGTGGGAGCCAGACTGTCCTCTGGTCGTCCAGTCCCAATTTGACCTTTGACCCCATTGCCAAAAGCCCACAGCTGGCCAGAGGAGCCCAAAACCAGAGTGTGACGTCTGGGAGACAAGAAACAATTATCATGTAATGAGAAACTTAATATGATGTAAAAGTATTTTATAAAGTAAAGATACATCTCAAGTACTTCAGTTAGGCATCTCAAGTTAGATATCTTAAACATGATTTTACCCTAAAATACCAAAATTATATAAGCCTTTCTTAAATTAAGGAAGTTTCAGTGTTCACATAAGAACCCTCCTACTGTGGTTTTTACCTGCCACAGGAAATCTGTGAGGCAGGTCCATCCAGACCATCGACCAGTCTGGGTTTCACTTCATCGGCAGAGGAGTTATGACCGAGCTGACCGTGGCGTCCCTCCCCAAAAGTGAAAACCTTGCCATCCTAGAAATCCCAGCATCACATAATATTATAAGAAGCAACCTCTTTGACTGTAGTAATCTTTACAATGTCATGATTTCATCACATTCTGCAAATCAATTAGAACCAGGCTGAGGAGATTAGGGATGTTTGTACCTTTGTTAACACAGCAGTGTGTGCCTCGCCACAACTTATGAAGGAGACACCCAGAGGTCTGAGGGCAGGCACCACACAGATGTTGAACCTGCCTGTTAAAGATCATAAGAAATGGGCAAAAAGTTGAAAAGAATCATGATACATATAATGAGCTCCGGTAAATGAAATAAAATATATCATCCCGAGGACAAGGTGATGATAATCACCTGAACAACACAGTTTACAGACATTTCCAGAATCCTCAACCATCTAGATGAAAAAATATTTAATTTAAAGCATGATGAAAAAGATTTTTAACCAGTTTTCCAAGTTGCGAATCTGTTTACTAATAAATAGCATGTCTTTGCTCAATTTGTGAACCAAAATTAAAACAGTTTGAGTTATCACTTACATTTGTTTAGACTGATGCTATTTGACATTATTTTACATTTTCATTCAAAATAGCGTTATCTTTTCATATAAAAGTAGCAAGGAGGTCATTTTAACATAGCACCTAAACATAGCTGTTACTGAAATATAACTGTATAGATGGGAATAGTGTGAGTTTAGTTTGACTTAATTATTTTAATTAGTCAACACAAGTTTTAAATGACAAACCGCAAAAACACAAAGAAAACAACTACTACAAGATAAATGATGTGTAGAGCTGGTCTGACAACGACCAATGAGCCCCACCTTTATGGACACTCTGCTGCTTGCTAAACGTGTACAAGTGATTTTGTCACTCAGTTAAAGTCACTTATTCGTACCCCTCTCATCCACCCTGTTGAGTCCCAGCTGGCCAGATTTATTAGCCCCACAGCAGTACACCAGGCCTGGAAGTGTGAGGAACAGAGTGTGGGTCGCCCCGGCCGCAATCTGGGTCACTGCTACGCCGGTCAGAGCTGTCACCAAGACAGGTGTATGCTGCAGTGACACCTCCTTCCCCAGGCCCAGCTGACCATGACTGTTCAAACCCCATGAGAAGACATCGCCTCCTGGAAAGTGGTAAATAGAGGAGAAAAATAAATATAAACCCACTCAAATTATGGTAAATAAAGAGTTTGCACACCTTTTCAGAAGATCACAGAAAAACTTACTGTTTTCCCTTCAGATGTATCTTATCAATTTAAATGATCAGTAAATGTTTCCCATTCAACCTTATACTTTTTATTATTATATTTATGAGCATCACTACTACCCATCCACTCCACAGGGGAGCTTGTGGTGCAGTTGCTGAGTTTGTACAATTTATTGTTCTGGAGTTAGTACTCACAAGAGTGTGTCTACACATCTACATAAACACCTAAACACAAGCATTATTACAAATGCCAAAGTGGTGGAATATAAATGGATTGTTCTGAGTTTTTTAATTTTAATTTACTTCTTGTCAGATCTGTTTTTTGCTGGAATGTTACAGCTGTGTTTTCATGAAGCTCCTACTATGTTAAAGAACATCCACTTTGCTCTTCGTCATGTCTGCCGGGAATTGGAAAAACATGGATTTGTCTCATTGATATGGTGACATATGAAATCAAACCCAAATCAGTACTACGTTACAGATAAGTAAATACTGCAAGCTGTGAAACCAGAGCTGGCGGTGATCAATATAAACACAGAAAGATGTCATCAGTGTGTTCAATGACATACCTTTAGTTAGTGCCAAGGAGTGGGAGTTTCCACAAGCAACTTGAATCACTGCTACTGGCATTTGTGGTATAGGCACACGACTGCATGTTGATGAGACAAGAGTAGGTTTTTAAGAAATGAGAAAAGGCTGCCTTTCAGTGACAAGTATGCATGTGTACATTTTCCACAGACAGAGATCTTGCCTTGGTCTCTGATGGTTACACAGCAGATGCGGTAACATGCCTAGCTGTCCATTATTTTCTGCGCCCCAGGAGAACACGTGTCCTGATGCACACAAAGCCAGACAGTGGTCCTGACCACAAGCCATGGACACCACATTACCTAGTCCCTCCACACGACCTTATACAGGATGACAGAGAATCACAAACATAAACAGATGCAGTAGACATCACCTGGGGTTTAAATTGCAAGAATACATATCTAAACACAATAATTTCAATACAATACTATACTAATTATCCTAAACTGTCATTAATGTGTTCCAAGCCACTGTATGAAGAATGAAAACTATTTATGTGTTGATTGAAGCCTATCTGACAGACAGAGGCAAACCTACCACAGCAGTACTTTGGTTTTTGTTATTTTTTTACATTCAGATTTCAACATAAGATCAGCTTAATGTGATGTGTGAACTGTTGTAGATTAAACACCACATTGTAGTTAAAGAGATCCACCTCAACCTGCTACAACAAAATGTTTTTTACACATTAATACATTGAAAGTAATAATCCAATGATTTATTCTAAAAACTATAATCATACAACACTGAAAGGAGCCATTCTGCATAATGAGTGTTTTTCCTTTAATTATGTGTTGCTAATAGTGTAGGCCAATATTTTGTTGAGTAATCTTGTGGGAATGTCCAACTTTCCCACCTGCACGTGAACTCAACGCATGCAGTGCAGTGAAGTGAAGTGCAGTTTAGTTAACTTTCGTTGCCTGGGATGACATGAAGGAAACGAAACTAAAACGAAGCTCAGTGAATACCCTGCGTGATGTTTGCGGTGATGCTTTATAGCATTCCACGGATGCAATAAACTCATTAGGTTGTCAGCTAAAGTAAGTATGATAAAGTTCTTCCTTCGAAGAAATTGTCTTGACAGACAAAAAAAAGGACCAAAGGAAATCAGAGAATGCCGCAGTTGATTTAAACAGTCACCAGGACAAGAAATAAACCGTTACATAGACAGTATGTCTTGTGTATGTTTTAAATATTATATCTAACTAGGCCTAACGAATTTTTATAAAAATATATTTTATTGGGCATTAATAATCCTACTAAGAATATTAAATGGATATTTTCATGTTATGTCGACTATTCTGACAAATATCACCATGATTACCTACCTGGTGTCCTTCCATCTTTACATTTCCTTCGTCCGAGTTGTCCCTGTGAGTTGTGTCCACATGATAAAACGCCTCCATCCTTGGTGAGGAATAAAGTGTGCTGTTCCCCGCAGGAGATGTCGGTTATAACCCCGGGGACAGTCCAGGACACCGGACTGAGGGCTGTCTGTGGACCGAACTGTCCACTGGAGCTGTCTCCCCAACAGTACAGCTGCGCCATGTCTCCACCTGGACAGGACTGATGCGTTTACAGCTTCCGTGGTACTTTATCTGGAGTGATGCTGCCTTCACGTGCTGTCGTACGTATCACAATTCCGGTCTGAAATATGCACTTGAACAACTAATTTTGCGAGTGTGGCATAGTGTGTCGTATGTTATGTAGATTACGTTTGTTACTGGGCAGAGTTTATTTACTTTAGACCAGAAGCAAGCAGTACATTAGGTTGTTCGACAGAAGTTCTCTAATTTACGAGCTTGCCGCGAAATAGGGAAGGTAACATGAGAGCAAAAGATTAGATCTCCTATCTTTAAAAGTCACTTTCGTTTATTTAGGCTCTACGAACGAAATGTTACTTACCTTTCAATGTCGTAATTACAACTTAGTCTATTTTTAATAATAATAGGTGTGACTGACATTACTGGCAAGAGGACAGTAGGCTAATTCCTCCAAATACAAAATGTGATATAAGCATGTCAAAGAGTCACAGCGTTTCAATACAGAAACAGAGATGTCAATATATATTGTACCAAATTATTTTATTTCAAATACATGTGTCATGATGATCTGTATGTTAACAGAACATACATTAGATGTGGCATGAACTGATTTGTGACTGATTGTTTTTGTTTTCTCAGAAATGAAACTCATCATCATCATGGTGGGAAAAAAGGTGCTGCAGTTTTTAGATGTTGTCTGCTTAGAAACAATCTCAACACTTTACAGACACATGCATACATAAACGTATACAACACATTCTTCACTTTGTGTGCTATCACATTTATGGATTTTAAAAACACAATGCAAAAGTGTCTAATAATCTTAAGTCCATGTGATATTGGGTGTTGCTAGAGGTAACCAGATGAATGGTGCTCTGTCAAAGAGGCACTGCTTCAACGGACCTTGAATATTTTCTCTCTGCCGGACAGACTGCTCCCAGTTGATCATGACATCTAAAATAGAGTAGACACCTACAGACCCATCCTCAAAGCCCACAAACACACACTGCTGCTTCCACGCGACCAGAGTCAACGGATTCTTAGACAGACACACGCTTCCTATTCTTTCCCCGTCTGCGAGTCGCACGGCTGTGAGGACGGGCCTCGTGTGCAGGCAACAGACACAGCTTTTCTGCAGGGCGTTGGGGCGGTATACGTAGGCAGCATAGCATCCACTTTGATCCAAACAAGCTTTAAAGACAGGACCCTCGGCCTTGAATGAGCACAGCCTGACCTGAGATAGGTCTAAGAGGTTGATGGCTTCGTTGTCAGTGGACAGCAGGGCATAGCTCCCATCAGAGGACATATGGAAGTCTTGCGGCTGACAGTGAAACGTATGAGGCAGCTGAAAGTGTCTGCACACCGTCTCCTCTGCTACTTTCCAGGTGTACACTGCCCCCGAGGCGGCCATCACCACCACAAAGTTTGGGTGCTCTGAAAGTGTGTGGAAAGCAACGACGTGCTCCGAGCTTGCCACACAGGAGAAACGTTTGCTGATCGAGCCCGACCACAGACTGGCAGCTAGCAGGTCTCCATGGCGACGGCCAATAAGGAAGGTGCTTTCAGGCGACACCTGGGCGTCAGATAAGTACAGGTGAATGCTGCACACAATGCTCCCGTGTGCCAGCTTCCAAACCCGGGACAACCGACTCTCAGAAATACTCACACCACAGTTACTATTAGGCGTGATCAGGATGTCTGTCGCTGTGCTGCCACTCATACGGAGGATGTTCTGACCTGTTTCTGTCTGCCAAACGTAGATGTCCCCGGCTGAGAGTGTCACAAGGTGGACGTTATCTGGAGAAAGGCGCAGTTTCTCCACAGGACCATCATGTAGGAAGCTAGCATGTGGAAGTCCTGTTGCTAATCTCCATTTCCACACCTCCTCTGACCCATCAGTGGTGTAGAACCACTCCCCTGTTTGTTCAACCACCACCTCTTTCACTCCACATCCCATTTTCGGAGCTGTACCTGCGGCACCTATCGTCTCCGAGTCCCACGCTGTGAGGCAGCCGTCACGAGCGACGCAAACGACACCGGAGGCCATTTTGAGGAGTGTATGAGGCTGCGTGTTTGTTTCCAAGGAGAGAACGCACTCCCCTGTGCTGACCCTCCACACCAAACCCAGGGGACATGTGTCTAACAAAGCCAGGAAAAGGTGGCCATCCTGGGAGAGCACAGCTTGAGTGAAGGCCCTCCCCTGTGGTGCCAAAAACTGGTCCCAGAGCTCCCAGTCACATGTATCCCACAGGGTAACCTGTTGAGATTGACACACCAATAAAGTTTCGATTTCATCTGAGTAATCTGTATTGAGGATGCTATGAGAGTTACCCACGGTAAGACTTTCTCTGACTAGTCTGGGTGGTTGTGTTTTGACTGCCACATCCCATAGGGTGACATTCCCCGTCCTGTCAACACAGGCCATTTCCCACTTATCTTCACACAGGATCATTGATGTAACCGAGCTGTGGTTTGAGTTTGAACAGGTGACAAGGAGATTGTTGGTGTTGGTGTCAAACAGGGACACTGTGCCTTTCTCCTGCCCACAGTACATGTATAACCCGTCAGAGGAGCAAACCAAACAGGTCACACAGCTCTGACACGTGAAATGAGTCAAGATCTCACTGGAGACATCCAACACACTCACAAAACTCTCATCTTTCCACCACATAAATAACTTCTTCTGACAAGCAACAAACCCCCCAATTTTGCTTGGGGTTCGTTGGCTTGACTCTGGTTCAGACTCTGTTTTCAAAGGATCCTTAACCTGTACAAACATTTCTGGGCCCGCCACATCCCACAAGAAGAGCTTGTTGCATTGTGTGGAAAGCAGCATGAATTGACCACTACTCTTCACACCTGTAAACTTCAGCTCCTTCTGCCCACAGCTCAGCGAGAGTTTGGCTACATCACACCCGGAACCTTTCCAGAACCAAGCGGTCCCGTCATCCATGACCTCTGCTACAATCCCACCTTCTGTCCCAGCTGCTTCTGTAACACAAACGTCCTTGGCCATGGTGTCACACTTTAAATTCTGAATGGAGGGAACAGAGGAGGGTGCAGGGCAAAGCGCTACTCCTAATCCTCTAACTTTTTTTTTTGCCCTCTCCCATCTTATCTCTTTGACATAATCTTGGAGTGCAGGAAAGACCTCCAGATAAGGGAGGAGGCTCGTCTCCATCACTGTTGGCAGCTGCTGGGGGGAGCTCTGCAGTAAGCAAGCACAAGACTTCAATATGCTTGCTAGGAGTGCTCTTTCCCTTGAAAACTGGAAGTGGCATGACCCTTCCTCGCTCTCCAGCATGGCTATCAGATCTCCCAGGAGTCCTGCTTGAACCATAGCCTGGTGAAACCCTAAAGACATTAACAGCCCATGCTCCAGCTCCTCCCATTTGTCACTTTCATGCAAGTGATGCGGCAATTCTAAGACCTTCCTCAAATTCACTCGGCCAACCTCTTTGGAAGAAGAAGTGACAAACGGCTGGCTGGAAGGCTTTCTGTCTATGTATATTTCCATGTGGGTTGTGTCTTTGTTTGGTCCAGACGTCTGGTTTACAAGAAGTGCTTTAGCCCATCGGCCGCTGAAATAGTCAGCCATCACCGAATGAATCTCCTTCCTCACCTCAAGAGTGCCTAAATACCTCTTAGCCACTACTAGCTTGAAATGCCTGCTCACCCAGAACAAAACACGTGACCCTGCAACTGTCCTCCTAATGAGAAACCACTTCAAATCCAATAGAAGTCTCTCTACGTCGACTTGCGGGACCCTCGTATTGAAGGAAGACCTCTCATCCTGCTGACCATACTCAGACAGCACCTTGTCATCACTGGACAGCAGATCAGCGAGCTCGGCCTCAGTGAGCCCAGTCCTGGAGAGGGTGAGATAGGAGACGGCTCGAGCCACGATAGAGGAGCCATGTTTCTGCTCCAGGTGATCCAGCAGCGCCGAAATGGAGGCATGGACGCCGTCAGGGAGACACGACTCGGTCACATCAGAATCTGATGATGAAAGAAGAAACAGGCACAGAAGGAGAGACATGTTGTGTAATATGATTTGTAGAGGTCGAACAATATGGCATTTTTAATGGCCGATGCAGGGCAGCCGACAATCGAGATACACTATATAGACAAAAGTACCCCTGGCCCCCCTGTCCCAATACTTTTGGCAGGGGCTGTTTTTTCATCGTGTAATCTTTCATGAGGGAAATCTTGACGCTACAACGTACAATTCTAGACAACAATTCTTTAACAAACAGTTTGTGTTTGGTCTTTTCCTCTTTCTATATGACAATGCCCTCGTACAACTCCATAAAGAAATGGTTTTCCCAGTTTGGTCTGGAAGAACTTCACTGGAGCGCTTAGAGCCCTGACCTCAATCCTATCCAACATCTTAGGGATAAACTATAACAGAGATGGTGAGCCAGGCACTCGTGTCCCACATCACTGTCTGACCTCACAAATGCTCTTCTGGATGAACGGGCAAAAAATCTTGTAGAAAGCCTTCCTAGAAGAGTGGAAACTGACGTCATGTATAATTCCATTATTCCATGAGTACAATCTAATTTACTGCACATGGTTATCTTAGCCAGGAACATGGTGTTTTGGATGGAATTTTTATGAATTAATGAAATTGATAAATACATTGGGTTATGCTGTAGATTTCAGAACGTGATTCAGGTGTTTAAGGGAGAGTGGGATACAGTTTGTCAGAAGTGACGTCATTCAACTGCATTATTCTCTACAGTGCTAGCCAGTAATATTTTTAGATTAGATCAGCTGTCATTCATGATATTGGCCTTTTGAGTGCAGGTATCGGACTATCGCTAGTATGTTGAACTGTCAAATCCCAGAAAAAGACCAAAACAAAACTGACAGTTGTTATATCTGATGGCTGGAAAATGTCAGCGGCAGAAATCGAGTTGTATTACAATGAAAAAAAGTCTTGTGCTGCAGCATAACTGCATATTTAACATGGTTTTTAATATGGTTATTTAGATATTTAACTCGACTCCTTCTTAATTCTTGTAATAGTTTTTAAATTAAAAACAATTTAAGAATGTAGTATGAAAATGCTGGCCCATCATCAAGGCACCCAAGAGTGCCATGGTACCCACGTAGGGAAACTCTGCACTAGCAAATGCACTACTTACTCCTGTTTGAGTAACACATGCTTAAAACTAGTCTTCACCTGTTTTAGAAAAAGATTTAGCCTTTTTATAAATGAAACTCTACATTTGTGACCCATTTTTAAATATTTACTCTTTCAGACTGGGCAAGGGTCTGAGCACCACATACAGGGTAGGGAGGTTGGTCTAATACACCGTTGGTCTTTATATAGAATGCAAAATATATAGAACATGACCAGCCTTTTGCTTTAAGAATGTGTCTGTTTACTGTATTGGTCGTACCAGAGTGCCAGAGCGAGGTGTGTAGGTGCAGGAGTCGAGCGTAGAGAGTCAGACAACAAGAAGTCAGCGCCTGGTTCACCAGCACTTGTTGTCCCGATGTCACCCTCCTTCCCGAACTGCTCAGCAGCGACGCCAACATCTTTGCACACTGTTTTCTGCTCGCCATTCCCAGCGGCACACACACATATCCTGACTCCTTCTCACTGCCCTCTGACCCACAATGAGGTGGACTTCTTTGGGGTTTGATGGCTTGCAGGACTCCTGTTCGGTTGGAGGAGACTGCAAGGATGAGTTTGACGCTGGGAGGAAGTGGGGAGGGGAGGCTCTCAATGATTTGAGCTCCAAAGTTGTTTTCCATGTGATCCAGGCCGTCGAGGATTAGAACTAGAGGCTGTTTGGTAGATGGTGCGAGGGAGAGGAGGGATGAGAGATGTTCTTTAAGCTCAGACAAACGGATATTAGATATTATGATACCAGAGTTAGGTCCTCTGGAATCTGGGCATGGTATGGCACTAAGGTCCTGGTTATAGGCAGAAACATGCTCTATGCTGGCTGCATGGTGAGGATCCAGATTAGATGTCGAGCTACAGTTGGCATTGTTGTCTCTGAGGTTAGGATCGTCCACGTCGCTGGGATTCTGCTCAGAGGAAGATTTGGCGTCATATCTACGGCCAATTTGATGACACAGGCTCGACAACAGGTGCTTTGGGCAAGGGTTGATTGATAGGTTGCAAAAATAAGTGATTACCACAGGATCACATTCCGGTAGCCAAGACTTTATCTGTGGAGAGAGACAGAACACTTGTTAACATGTTATCAAGACCATGTAGAAGTGACTCCTGTAGCACTGTCTTACAAAAAAAGAATTGTTGTAGGCACTGCTTTGCCTATGGGTTTGTTTGGACCATTTACTACTGGACTACTGAATTATGAGATGTTTTGCTGAAAAGAAATGACCACAGAAAAAGATCAATTTCATTCACAAACAGGTTTTCCTTTTCTTTTTTTTCTGAGTGTCTGTCTTACTTAATTGTGAATACTTATTTCTAGCTGTTCGACTTGTTTGGATGTCCTGAAAAGGGAGAATAGGGCGTGTTGAAATGGGTTTCACATTTCACTTCAGTCCACTCACTTGCTGAGCACAGTGTGCCAGAAGAACTGCTTTCCCTGTGCATGGTCCTCCTGTCACCACTAGTGGGCACTGTTGTTCACACTTCTCCACATAAGCTCTGACCTACAACAAAGGAAAAGTAAAACTAGTAGTGATGCAATGTTGCAGCTGAAATTACTGGCATCAAGTTTCACCAGAGTGTCACAGTATGGGGTAAATATATCAGAAAATATCCATGACATGACTTTGAATTGGTAAAAAAAAAAAGACCTGCGACACAACAAACTTTCTTTTTGATCTTCCTCAGTTATTAATCTTTCATACTGCCAGAAGTGACTATATCTACACAGTAATAAGTTAAAAATGAAATTTTAATGCTGCTTTTTTGTATTTATAAAACCATCCAGAAAAACACCTTCATCCTGACCTCTTCCTCTTCTGGCCGAATGACATCGTAAAATTGGGACAGGATGTCACACAGCTCCTCCTGCTCGGCCTGCTCTCTGGCCAATGCATCCCCGAGCTGAGAGTCCTTGTAGCTTTCTGAGATGCTCACGCTGTCAATCAACCCCACAAGGTCAGAGTACACCTGCTGACACAGAGATTCGGCATAGCCCCGCCTCCTGGCTGCCGTGTAACCATGGCGATGGTCACACTCTGTGGAGGTGGTGTAGACTAGAAGCTGGGAGGAAGTGATGAGACCAGGGAGGAAGTTGTCACAAAGCTTTGAGAATAATTGTCCATCAGTGGGTGTTGTTCTTAGGTCAAAGGTAGCAGCCTGAAAATACAGGATGTAGAAAATAACAGAGCTTTTTACTTACTTTGTGTAGGTACAATCTGCATTGGAATTAAATGAATAATGTATTTAATATTTAGCTATTTCTATTATACTAAAAAAAATATTAATCCACAAACTTGTCCTGCTCTCGGCATGAAAGGTGTACTTTTATCAGTGAGTCTGTATTATATGAGCCTCATGGATGAGGATAAGTGGCGTATTATGATATTCAGTCTGTGGTTATAGTAACAACTAATTCGGTGCTCATGAGAAAGTGATGGATGACTCTTACCTCTGGCTGTGGCTGAAGTTGTGAGTTCGGCTTTCTCTTCTCTCTTTCTCCTTTAGCATTTATGACTTTGTGCACATAAACCAGGCAGCGCCTGTTGATGTCATAATCAGGACATTTGTCCAGAGCAAATCGCAGGTCTGCGTCGAGGGCTGGAGAGAAGCAGCAAACACACATTAAACTATACCTCAACACTGAGCAACCCCCCCCCCCCCCCCCCCCCCCCCCCCCCAAACACACACACACAAACATCTATCTCACCTGATCTGGAGTAGCTATGGGCTCTCTGTGGGGTCATGACACCGTTATGGACACACAGACTCACAGCGGTCTGAAACACCTTCCTCAGCTCTTCTTCTTTAGCATTCCTCTTGATCTCCTCTTTCTCCTTAGCCTCTGCCTGCTGAACAAAAACAGTCTGATACTTTTTAGAACAGCACCACAGTCTAATAGCTGTGGTAGCTAAAAGAGGCAGATTATAGCTAAAAAATCACATACATTTAAATACATGATTATCTGATATAAAGACTTTGAACGTGTGAGGACACATGGGATTATTATATTATTATAGTTTTTGGGTGTGGAAGTATTAACATTATTTCTACATGCTTAATATTGTTTTATAATGAAAAAAGAGTGCGATAACTTTATTTGTGTAGGAAATGTTATTATCCCTTTATTCACAAACACTAATCCATCAGTACTTTTTGCTCAATACAAGCTCTAATCATCTACTCAGATTTAATTAGCGGCTGTACTTGGACAAACCTACTCCTCTTTGCTTAACAAGAGAATCTTAATTAAAATTTAATCTGTAAATACTGTGAGTAAACAAGTCCATAGATCCATCATGTATTTCAGAGGTTCAGTGTGATCACCTGGGGATGGCAGGTGCGTCTGTGTGGAGGTCTCAGGCAGTAGGAGGGAGGGGTGGTGTTCTCGTCCCTCTGATACACTCTCTCCAGCTCCTGGGTGCTGACGCCCGCCTGCTGGCTCTCCTGCAGCAGCAGCTGGTACTCTGACACCTCCACCTGGGCAGGTAGACAGGCTGTGCCATACTGATGTCCTACCAGGGCCTGCAGCACCGCCATGTGGACACAGAAGGAATGGCAGCATGGGATGCATTGCTTGGTCCTGATTAGTACACATTTATATTTGTGTTTATGGTTTAACAAATGTATAAAGCAACATCTGTTTCTTTTTTTGCATTATGTGCAGCAGCTGGATGAGAATGAGATGTGTGACCTTTACTTTACTTGATTATTTGGAAAAACTTTGTGATTGATTAGAACTACCAGAAACATCTTTGTGATACTGTGTAGAAAATTCAAACAGCCCTGCAGTAAATTCTGTGATTCTTACAACTATTTATTTGTGTTGAGGCAGAAAGGTGTTGTGAAAAAATGTTATGCTAATAGGAAACATGGTACTACATTGGTAGGTCTGCTATTTTGTCAGCACACTGTGCTTACTGTACACACAGAAATGAATTGAATGTTGAAATTGTCTTTTTTTTCCCTCTTATGTAGTAGCTAAATGAGTGATCTGACACAGAAGTATCTGAGTGGCAGCCATGTGCCCAGAGCTGGTCGGATTTTTTGAAATGCCAGAAAAAACGCAGTGTGTGTGTTGGTTGATGACACAGGCTCAGATAGCTAAGTTGCTGGTAGGGTGATTGGACCTGTGACTTCCCAGTGCATGATAATGTGTCCAACCCCCAGACACTTCAAGAAGCCCGAAAAGCTGCATTTACAATACTAGAAACCTCAAAATTCAACAGGGATTGATAGAACAGCAGCAGATAGAGTAAACTACCCAGTGTTGCTGCTTCGGGGCTGCTACTGCTGCTCAGTCTGTATTACTCAATAATTTAATTGAATATGTTTGAACCCTCTAAAGCTCCTGTAGAGCCTGAGGCATGCTGTACTACTGTACACTCGTGTAATACACTCGTGTTAATGAACCCTGGTGATTTATTTACCAGTAAAAAAGGTCCTGCAGAGCTCTCTCTGCAATCTTTAATCAGCTGCTGTCTGGTGTTTTCATCTGGCCAACGACTGGGATCACTGGACTCAAATGGGTCTATCGCCTACAGACAGACACACACACACACACATAATGATTAAAACAATCTAGAGGAGAGATGATAAAATCAGCTTAGAAAAGCAGACACTGAGGTGTAATAACAACTGACCTGGTAGTGGCTCAGTGACATATGATATTCTTCCATCTTTCTAATTACACATGCTGCTGAAAAAAGATGGCACAGTGCACTGGTTGAACTGCCACGCAAACTACCGCACTATGCACAGAGTCACGTCACAGCTGCTCATCCTCCTTTTTTTCCCCCCATCAAATTTAATTTGAGTAGGATTGGACGCACTTTAACAGGAATGGCCCGAGGGGGATAGTGTGACAGAACAAAGGACACACACACGCACCTGGGAGCTACCAAATAACATTGCTTTTGTGTTCCGCTGTTGGCAGTGAGTCTTGTTGATGCTCTTTCATGAATGAACAAGGTCTCCTTGAATCAGTCTGTATTAGTGCCGAAACAATGAGTCAATTATTCATCTAATCGAGTGACAGATGGTTTTTGCTGGCTTTTCAGAATAGTTTGATCGCATACTGTAAATGGACTTTGGGCTTTGTGTTTTTTTAATTGTTGGTCAGACACAACATTAACTTTAATTCATGACTTTCACCTCTGATAGCATCAGCAGTTGTCATTATGTATATATAACAAATTCACTGACATTTTAGTCCTATGACAAAAAGATGCATATTTCAGGAGATGTTAGAAAAACAAAGGCACGACCAGACATGTCACTGTAAACAGAAGCAACTTTATGTTATATACAGTATCTCACGAAAGTGAGTACACCACTCACATTAAATATTAGATTATATATTTTCATGTGACAACACTGAATAAATGACACTTTGCCACAATGTAAAGTAGTGAGAGTAGAGCTTGTATAACATTTAAAATTTGCTGTCCCCTCAAAATAACACATGGCAACAAAAGTGAGTACACCCCTAAGTGAAAATGTCCAAATTGGGCCCAAAGTGTCAAGGTGTCTAGGCTAATGTAGGCTACGTGTGTGGTGTAAATGAGGGTAAATAAACAGGACTAATGGATTCTTAAATGATATGAAATAAGATGAGACACGGTGGTCTCCACTAAAGCTAGGACCCTCACTCCTGTTTCCAACTTCTCTTTATTAATTATACCACACCCACAGCTACTATGTTGTGGCTGATTAGTCAGTCAGTGGACAAGCTGTCCATTAAAATCAGTGAATCAGAACTATAACCAAAAATACAGTAAGTCTAGAAATAATAACTATTGTTCTTTAAATATAAACAAAAACTGCTATTTTGGCTCCTACACACTTTTGTCACAGACAAAATATGTAAGCTCTCTCTAATGTGTAAAATAAATTAATAGTGCAAGTTGTTTGAACATTAAAGTTCATGTTTTAATGTAGCATCAACAGTGGCTGCATCCTGCCTCAGACAGTTTATGTTCATGCTGTAAAAATTACAGAAAGGATGAAAACTTTAAGTAGAATAAAGCAGTAACAACACACACATACCATGATCACTGACCTGTTTTTTATGCAGTGAGCAGGATTTATAAAAATTAAGCGTGTACTCACCCTAACATCCAGGCCCCATGTGTGTCTACAGTGCTCTCTAAGTTTGGGGAACACACTTTCTCTCAGAGCTCTGCGCTCCACCACGCTATCTATACAGAGCATGAACACAAACAAGATACACCTCTATTTACAAGATAACTCAAAACACATGACCAAAGAACGCATAAAGTTACAAACTGCATTTGCGTTTTTAAATTTCAGCATGAAACATCTACATACCCTCTGGGTTAGAGCACAGATAGAGTTTCACACAGGATGAGCTGCAGGTGGATTTTAAAGGAGACAAGTCCATTTCCTTTACTCTGGGGTGCATGCCAAATTCAATAGCTATTGTTATAATAAGGAAAATCAAGGGGAAAAATGTTTGGCATATTCAGTGAGCCAAAAAAAAGTTCACCGGTGCTGCTTCTCCTCTGCGCTGTTGCCTCTCTTTTCCCTCCTGCTCCACTCAGGAAATTCTGGCCTTGGGTGTTTATGGAGAGTTATCATGATCACACCCACTTCTAGTGACTGGGGCGGCTACACAACACACACCCGCCCACATGCCCTTAAAAACACATACAGTCAGTTAGACAAATTCTCAGATGTGTAGGACAGGTACATAAACACGTTATATTAGATTACATGCACACGTCAACAGAAACACAAAATGAGTAAAAAATAAAAAACAAAGAGAAACAACTTTTCAATATTTTTTTATTAATTAACATTTGTACACAATAAATACAAACTTTGTTTTTTGTACAGCCGATAATAATATGCAGAAAGACTTTTGCACCTGTTCTCGTTTTTGTCACTATGGCAACAGTCCGTGAAGAGAGAGAAGGCCAGTTCTTCCACCACTTTGTAAATAGCAGCAGCTGTGCAGCTGCTCCAAATCGAAGAATGAAAAATAAAAGAATTATATAATACATAAAAACCAAAAACAGGTCCATATCCAATAATTAAACACTGTAATGGACCAAAGGGACTGTTAAAAAGGGGAAATAACCATATTCAAAGTGGCAACTGGCAACAAAAAGTCACACATTTTATATTTGATAGACTAGAGATTAAGCATTTATGGTGGGAAGTTCTGTGGAACGCTGTAAACTATAAACTTCAAAACAAGTTTAATAACCATTATAAATAAATAAGCTGCTGTTACAACTTTCCTACGACAGCAGAGGAGCAGAGGTTTGGATCTGAAACTGTAATTTATTCCAGCGTGCTTAACTTTCTCAGGTGTGGATGCTACACAAAATGTTGTTTCGAAAAGCTGATGCAGAAAAAAATGATAATTTGTTGAAGTATTTCCTTCCTTTCTTGCATCATTTTCCAATTTGACCATAATTCACCTCCACCCGGCAACGAGGAACCCAATCAATTTGAGCCCAGATCAGGACTTTAGAGGGCTTTCTTTCTCTGCTTACAAGAAGCTTTAAGCTGTGCCCCAACTTCATACTACATATTAATAATCTTCATACTTTTACTGTTAGTATACAATAAATTAAGATACTTTACAGTTCTATACCAACAGGAAATGCGGTATGACACTGCAACTTTGGAGCACAACAGATAATATCCATAACAAAGACAAAGCAAAACATATTTAATACTTGAGTTTTTTGCTTTCTGCCGTATTTGTGGAGCTGTCTCACAACAGGGTACAATACGTTTTAATTGTCTCCACTTATGAGGAGCTCCCTCTTTTCATGTGTTAGATTTGGGGACAATATTGTCCATTAACACCACACTCAATAATGAAGCTAATTTAGCATCACCAGTAGTAACACCTTTGACTTTTATTCTGAAATGTTTTAAGCGTGAATGCTCTGCCAAAACCCTGGTTAAAACAAATACGTAGGAAGGAACTGGGACACATCTTTACATCTTCAAACACAGCTCTGATCAAAATTCGTCCTCTCTCCTTTAAACAATCACACACAAAAACAGCCAGGCCCATCTCAAGATCTAAAAACCTCATTCTCTCCAAGTCTTCACTCCAAACATCCCTTTCAGTAATCATGTTTTTGCGTCTTTCTTTTTATAAGTTAACACCAAATTACATTGTCCACAAGTATCTCCCAATCTCTTTGAAAGAGTGGAGACTTAAAAAAAAATCATCAGTCACACTGAAATAAAAAGGATCCACCACAGAATCAGAATGAAAAGAATAACTCTGATATCTGTATTAAACTGCAGCGATTTATCAGAGTAATATCTATCCATTCTGATGCAATGTTAAGGTACTGCTACTTTCCAGGGACGGTACAAATAAATAAAAGTGCTACGCTGCCCTTTAGGCAAGGAGTTTTAAAGGCTTGAAGGGTATTTAAGGGGAAAAGATTTTAAAAAACAAAAACAATTGTACTTAGCTCAATTTGAATGTCATTTGCTAGTTCTGTCCATTTAGCATGATGTTTGCGTTTTATACATCTCTACCTCCGTTAATCAAAGTTGAAATGTAAAACACAAGGAAAAACGTAAGGATGATACCAAATGGGAAATGTTTTCTCTGCTGTATTAAAAAAAACTTGCTCATATAGTGATGTGATGGCATAACAAGAGATAAATAATACCTGCGAATGTAGTACATGTCAACTAAACAAGGATATATGCCATAGGTGAACAAAATTAATGTGAGAGGAGATATGATCAGTAGGGATAAAAGCTATACAGTTCATTCTGTGATTAATAAAAACTGCTGACCCCAAATAAGTTTATATCATGTCAAATACAACTTTTCTTTGTCACCACATAGTGAATACCAACCATTTCAGTGCCTTTTGAAAGCACCACCGGCCTCCACCAGAACCAATCAGTGATATAAGCACACAGAGGGTCACAGAATGAGAAGATATAGCAACATGAATGTAATATAATGTAACTGTACTGTATGTGTGTATACAATAGCCACTGATTCAATTGCCAATGGACAGAACAGACATTAGAGAAAAGAGGGAGAGAAAGAAAGGAAGGATGGGAAGAGAGGCGGAGAAAAGAGCAGAAGGGAGGATCCAGCCTCCCTTTTCTATCTTGTTCTTTCACCCTCTCCTTCCCATTCTTCTTTCATCTCTCCTTCATATTGTATTTACAATGCCCTTTCAGTATAAGATGAGGATAAAACTTCCACTACATATCAGACATGGTACTCCATTCAGCTGAGTTAGTCTATATGAAACGCTGTGCATAACATTCCTATGACAACAGTAATGTACTGTACTAATACACATTGAATACGTATGATGATGAGGACTATATATGTCGAGGGAAGGGCTGGCAAGGGGGGACACTGCATCCATGCACCACCCAGTTTCTCTGTCCATTTACTTGAAACTCCCAACTGCAATCCAAGTCATGACATGTTCGGCACGTTTTATACTAATTCACTCACATCAAGCTTACTTTTTTTGTTCCCTGACACTCAAACTATAGTAAAAGGTATCCGATAAGTCAAAATTATAACTGATAAAATACATAAAAACTTTCAAATTTTACTTTTCTATTTATCTTTCACTTATTTTATTATATTTGGTAAATCATTTATCTAGTCCCTATTTTCCCAAAATTTTCTTTACCACATGACTGTGTGGCTAGTTAGCTTACCTGAAAACACTGGTGGCTAGAAACACTGAGGACAAGCCTTTTTTGTTAGCTACCAAGCTGAAGCTAACTTTTAACATTAAGCTACACGAGCTACTGCACCTAATGTTGATTATCAACATACTGTACTGCATACTGCTGGAGCATTAATATATAAAACTCTTGTAACGGTAGCTAAAGCATTTTTGCAAGCATACTACTTGCTACGCTACGTGGAAGTTCACAGAAGTTCTTTAGAGACATGCTTCTATCTTCATAACAATATTGTAACATTATGGACTTTATTATCTCACCCTCAACATTTTGTAGATGTGTGTGTTGTTGAATGTCCCTTTGCTCAAAATGTCAAATAGACCAAAATCAGAAGTTCTAGCTAGCCAACGTTGTTAGCGATAGCGTCCAGACTAAAATGATTTAATTACTGTTGGTAGAGTTTATACAGCGATGCAATAGTTAGCTACAGCTAGTTAGCTAACTGAAAGGGTGGTGCTCAGTGTTTTTAGTTACGCTAGCTAGCCACACAGCCCTCTACAGTTCCCAAAAATAAGCAATTGTATGCTTAAGGAAAATTGGAAATGTGGTGGAAACAGAGATAAATTATTAAATGTTTAAGTATAAAGCTCTACATTTCTATTTACAATCTATTTTATATTTTTGACTTGTCTTGTAACCCTTTACTACATTTTGTCAGTTTAAGGGCTCCATAACTTCTCTCATTATTTGTTAATAAGTGAGTGGAAAAAGTGAAATTTCTTAAATGTAGCAGAATGATATTCCTGTGCAGAGATAAACTGCCTTAAAATATCATAAAGTAAGCTTAACAAGATAAAAGAACACTTGCAAAACCCATCATTAACTTTCCCTCGCACTTCCCCTCTCTAAACATTCTTCCTCCTCTTCAGTGTGCTCGGGTTTGCTGCCCGATGAGGTGAAGTTTTAAGGCAAGAATGGAAGGACAGGGGAGGGCAGAGAGGGATGTGTGTGTGTGTGGGAGGGGCTACTGCTGCACTTCATTAGGAAGCTAATATGGAAGTTATTTAATTGGATACTCTGCCTTTATCCCCTCTCTCTGCTCTCCTCTTCAACTTGAGTAGGAGAGAAGATGTGGAGAGGCTGGGGGCGTTGGACGTGGTTCAGTTTGTTTTACTTCACATCACTTTATTGAAGCTGACTTCAGTTCAGAGCAGTTCAGTTCAGTTCCCCAGCCTGTAGGATACGTATGTTTGTCATCTGTTTATATTTTTTATGTCTCTGTCACCGCCTGCCAGCTTGTCTGTCTGTCACACCAGTGTGATCTCCACCTCCTCTGTCTTGTCGCTCTTCTCCTGCTGTCGGCGAGGGTGCTGTTTGGGTGGAGGAGGAGCAGCTCGCACCTACAAGAAAACATAATACATGTAAATTTAAGAAAAAAGGGAAAGTGAGGAAAAGTATTGTTACGGAAATAACAGTGATGCCCTACTTTTCCTCTTTTGATAAACAGCAACATGTTCATCTCTGCTGTGGGACACAAACCTTTTATCTCCAAAAAGTAAGGAATATTTATTATCTACTTTTAGAGCCTTTTTAAAACAAGCACAGTATTTTTAAATAATAATAAGGATTCACAGGCAAAACACTTTAATCAACACTAACATTTACATTTAAGAAAAAAAGGATCATAGAGAGAACCATGTACAACAACCGTTTGTTATATCGGACTGCAACTGACAATTATTTTCTTTAAAAAAAACATTAACATATTTCATACAAAAACACACTTATTGAATCATTTTTACTAACAGGTCGTAGTTTGCCCGGGCCTCCTTCAGGGGTGAATCTCAGTGGCTGAGGAAATCCTGGAGACACTGGACTCCTGCCAGAGCTGTGATCTGCAGAGAAAGAGAGGGAGATTTCTAACACAGAAAAACTCACAGTGACCTCTTCTCGACTCATTCAATTAGACACAAACTTTTTTCTGTGTGTGTGCATGTCTTACTGTGGGTGGAGAGCGGTCCCTTGTGAGACGAGGGTGGCGGTGGAGGCTTGTGCTCCCCATTGAGTGCGGTGGAGGGTGAGCGTGGGAGAGGAGGCGGGGTGGAGGTCTCGGGGCTGGTGAAAGGGCTGATGGGAGGTTGGTCATACAGAGGAAGAGGTGGCAGAGAGGATGGCAGCTTCAGAGACGGAGAAATCTAGAGTAAGGGACAGAAATAGAGAAATACGTCACTGATCTGTCATCACAGTGAACATCAGATCGCCTATGTAAAATTGTGTTTTTGAAAAAGATCTAGTGACAAACTAATTGTCTGAAACTGGCCAGACTATAATTTGACTCATCTTGACCAAAGGAACCCAAGACAAAAAGAAGCTGGTTGTTAAAATGTGAAAAGTTTGGAGAAAAGAAACGAGTTTCAGGCCAAAATGTCCATTGAACCGTGGCCTGATGGCGGTGCTAAGTTTAGCTACTGTACATCTGACCCTTTCATCAGTGACATGTTTCATTAAAACTGGTTAAAAAATAAAGTAAGAACAAAAAGAAAGAAAAAGAAAAAACACCAATATTAAATATCTGTATGCATATGTATGTAAAAGAAAGAAACATAAGCAATTAATAATTGACTTAAAAAAAAATCTCACAAGTATCTGAGAAATGGATAATCTACAGATCCTTAAACCTACATTAATTTAAAAAAATACTGGCCACTTTTGGGCAGCGCACAAGCTACAAACAAAAATTATTTATTATTAATGAGTAAGGTGTTAGCAATGAGTAATGTGTTAGCATCCAGCAGATACAGAGCAACGTTAGCATTCATTTGTCGTGTTTCTGTCCACCTGTCTAATATTCACTGCTGAGGGAAATATTTTTGTCTCTTTAGCTGCTAGGTGCTCCACTATGTTCACCCGCTAATCGCTAACTGTGTCTGTTTGCTGTTTTCTCTTCTTTTTTTCCCCACTGAATACAGCTGCCCGCTGCAGCCGAAAATATCACTATAAGCAAGTTAAACAAACAGTTAATTTGAAGGATGTCAAACCAAAACAACAAATGTGAAGATGCTAAAAAGCTCCATAGGGCTGAGGGGAACTGCAAAGCTGGGTAATAATTCTCTGTGGGTTTGTCACCTGAACCTCTTTCACATTACAGTCATTTCTACCACTGTTAATGTAAAAACATTGATTAGACCAGCCTTAGGACTGCTGGAACTGGAACACTAGAAATACTGTAAGGAATACCGTACAGAAATATTGTTGGTTTACTAGTTTGAAGTGCCACGACATACAACTCGACTGATTCAGTTGCAGCAACCCAGAGGATTCAGATTGTTTACCAATCGTCTCCACATATGACTTAAAATACTTTAAGAGTTGTTGCGGTGTGTTATGTCTACAGGCTTTTAGGAAGGGAGAGGCTGTATCCTTCCTGTTGCTGAACCTCTAATAGGGCAGCTCTCTGTGCCACAGATAAGACCTCTTTCTGTGATTGCAGTTTTTATCACAGTGCTGCAGGAACATGGCAGTTCTGATCCACTGTTGTGAACTCTGCCCGGCTGATAGATCTGCTGGGCAACAGCCAGGAAGGTGGTGGGGGCCACAGTAGACTATGCTTTTTCCTTGGTATTTCTGCCATGCCGAGAAAAGCCTGATAAGACCACACTTCCAGCTCCTCAAGAGTGATGCCTGTGGTATTTAAGTGGGAGTATGTCTCCATTTTAAGCTCTATTTTCTTTGTTTTCCCACAGAGATATATGTATGAAAGATTGCTTGTGTCACTTAACTTAATATCTGTGTTATATGTGAGACCCATCCCCGCGTCTCCTTGCATTAAACATACCTGTATGTCGCCCAACACTCCTCCGCTGGTCCCATTCTCAGTGAAATCTTCTACTAAGACGGAGGGGAAGACGCCCACCCGTCCGTTGAGCTCCCCCTCCCAGAAGCCGTCGTCTGTCTGAGTGTCGCGGCTCAACAGGCGGATCACCGCTCCCTCGGAAAAGGAAAGTTCCTCGTCTGCCTGGCCCTCGTAATCATAAAGCGCGCGGACATACATCACTGCAGAGAGAAAGGAAGACAAAGAGACAGAGGAAGCAATAAGAGAAACACAGAAGGAATAATTATTCTTGGGGAAATGTAGTTCCTTGTCTGCCTGACCCTCATTGTCATAAAGACAATGGTACATACCGCTGGAGAGAGGGAGATACAGAGAGGAGGCAAGATGCTATATATATATGATATATAATATGTAAAACAACAGAAATTCCCCATGTGCCTGCTCCAAGTATTCAGACTAGTACAGACAAATAGCATTAAAAAGAGGGTTGGAGAAAGAAAACTTCTTGTTTTGGCGTGCAGTGAGAATAAGTTTGACTAATCACGTACCATGAACATGAGACACAGTCGAACAAGCCTGGTCAGGATTTGCCAAATCAGAGTAAGAGTCTCCATATTTTTTATGCATCTTGATATAAATTGTTATGGATTTCACTGTTTTAACTGATGAACCATGTATGCTGACTGCTAGTAGACCTTTGACAACCAAAGTCTGGATGTGGATACAACCAATAGTCTGGTCTGCAGTTTCACCAACTGGTGTTTTGTTCTCTCTTTGACCACTTTTATACAACTGCCTCGCTCTTGTTTCTGTTACCTTGTTTTACCCAGCAAAGTAGACACATTTGCTTATTCTACTAACACCCTGCTTTGCAAAATGAGTGTTGCTTACAATGGGATTCTGAGCAAATCCAGTGGAGCAGTAAAAAGAAAAATGCTTTAATCAGTGGCACATAATAACCTCATTATGGGAAGAAAAAAAACCTCATTTGCACTAGTACAGCGGGAACTAGCTTGTTTTACTCAAACTCCTGGCATGCAATTTCATTATTTCAAAGACTAATTTACCACTTGCTTGGTTTACGGCCTACTTACTGTTTGCATCTCCATTGATGCAGTTGGAGTGCAGCTCTGGCTCGGTGGAATTGGACGAGGTGTGCGATCGAGCATCGAGTGTAGCCAGAGACTGGAGCATGCTCAGCAGACTGTTGGAGGTCGGGAACTGCAGGTATTTCTCTGGCACATAGCCCACTTTACCTGTCTTATTGCGAGCCTGGAAAACACACACACAAACAATGAAGTGCAAAACGAAAACGTACATGATGGGAAAAAGTTTAACACCAGGAAACCATAAAAAAAAAACCAAAAATAAATGGAGCACATGCACAGGACCAAAAACACGAAGCCATCCTGATTATTCAATTCAAGTTTTGCTACCCCACTTTTTGAAAATAAATTATTTTCAAAATTTTGTTTATCCACCTCTTTTAAAGATATTATATTAAGCTCATTTTCAGGCTCAATATCTTATTTAGGGGTTGTACCGGAACAGGTCTACATGGTTTCATTTTTTTAAAAAACACCATATTTTTGTCATACTGCACATTGCTGCAGCTCCTCTTTTCACCCTGTGCGTTGAACGCTTCGTTTTAACCCTGGAGTGATACATCTTGCCTCCACATGATGATGATCTTTGTTGGGAGTTGCACATGCGCAATTCCTAGTTAAGGTTAACATGGACTGGAACAAGAGTTTCAGAGTGGTGAGTTATTAATCTGTAACAAATGTATCTTTCATACATAAAGTTGTAACTGAGCTCTGTTTCTACAACACAGTAACTACTGTATGTCCATTGACTGCCTGGAGGGTAGTTAATGTTTGGAAGGGAGAGGACAGGCAGCAGGCGGACCTCTTGTCACTGTGTGCTGCACCTCAGTGTTTTCCCACCGGTGTTTTTGAGGGCGTGTCGGACTAGCCGCTTGGCGAGCATTATGTTGCGCATTTTGATGTGTCGTCACAGGGATGAAAGGCAAACGGCTGGACTACAAACGAGCTGTTTTCAGGCAGTTCAGAGCAGTGTTTTCTGTGGGAGATGGGAGCTCCCTTTGGACTGGACTTTGGGCTTTTTCACTTTGTAAACCTATTACATGCACAAAAAAGGTATATAACTCAATAAAGGAGAGGGAAAAATGCCAAAAAGTACCTCTTCACCTCTGACCTCTTTAAATGCAATACAGCGTTTACTCACCTTTTTATGAGTTTTTCATTAGCTATCATTGGACAGTTTAGCCAGTGGACATTTATAGTTTACACACCTTTTATTTCACCACTAGACTACATACCGGCTAATTTGCTGTACAGCGCTCTCCCTCACCCCACACAACATCAGACTAAGCTAGAATAGTGTTTCACAGTTATTAGAGCTTGAGCCATGCAGTTACATTTAACAAAGTAAGGAACACATAATCTCATAATGTCTCACAAATTATTCTTCATCTAACTTCAGATTGAGTAGGGTCTGTACAAAATTATGATTATTAAAGTTTTTGGAAATTATCCCCTATTCTTACCATAAGTCAGGTTAGGTGGAGGAAATTTGTTTAAAATGAAATAACTGTAAAAATTATGCATCTTTCCAAATTCATTCCCCTGTTTTAAAACAAAACCAGGCGCCCACGCACAGAGCCCATGAGATAATGTTGTATCCGTAAATGTAATGCACATCCGTGTGACTGCCACATATGTGTGTATTTTTGCACCTTGACCCAGTCTTCCATGTCCCCATCCTCAATGACCTCCAACATCTCCTGTTCATCAATAGTTAACTCATCCGGCTGAGAGGCCTGCGGAAGAGACACACCAACAGTGTTAAAGATAGAGAGGGAATAAGAATGAGATAGAAAAAATGGTTTAAAAGAAAAGGGAGGGAATAAGAAAAGGAGTTGGAGGATTTTCCAATGCTAAAAAATGTCATGGTTGTTAATGTAAGATTCAGTCAGCATTTCACACTTCCTATAAGTACAACACATGCATACATTGACACCTGTGATTGTGTGTGAAACTGTGTGCTGTGGTTGAGCAGGCAGCCACAGACATTTGATATGTGCAGGTGTGGGGGACCATGTAACAGCAGAAGGAAACCCTGTGTGTGTGTGTGTGTGTGTGTGTGTGTGTGTGTGTGTGTGTGTGTTGGTTGATACCTTGTACGAGTAAAGGACTTTGCAGGTTAGCGGGTAGTTTCGGAGGGTTCCTGAAGGACTGGAACTGCTGTCGTCAAAAACCTCCATATTCTCTTCACACTCCTCTCCCTCCTCACGCTCCAAGTCCACTGTGCCCTTTAACACACAAACACAGCCAGATAAAACCTCTGATAACTACAAGGACAAATACGAAAAGCTCTTTTCACCTCTAATCCTCCAGAGTAAAAAGAATACTCTTGTAATATTGATCAAATAAGCAAACAGTTAAAATACCAAAAAAATGTTTTTATATAAAGTGAGTGACATATTGAACATATAGCTGAAACACTCAAAAAGACCTGTGCCTGTGAAGTTGGCTAGTTAGATGCAGTTTACAATACAACAATTATAAAAATCTAATTTTTGTACAAATTTCTGGCTCCTGATGTTCCAATGTGTTTTCCTGCTAGGTGACTTGTTGTTGTTTGCTATCAACAACTCCCTTTCTTTCTGCCCTCTCCTATTAACCTTGTTAGTCACCACCTCTGCCTTTTACACTTTTGCTATGTTATTATCCCAACTTCTCTTCCAGAACCTCCTGTGCATTTTGCTCAGGCCTCTCTCCCTCTCTTTCCCTCTCTCTCCCTCTCTTTCCCTCTCTCTCCCTCTCTCTCTCTGCTAGTTTCACAATTTAAATTACAGCAATGCTTACCTTTGCTTCCTGCCTGAGTGTCCCTGTCCTGCTCGCTGTGGGCCCTACAGCTTTTAGAGACAGGTGTAGAGGGACTAATGTTTCATATGATCCAGCCCCTCCCTCTTTTCTTCCATGGGAATTTTACTGGCTTTTATGAAGGTCATGTGATCTAGCTGGTAGAAAGGTCCATCACACACTGCAAGCTGAGCTGGCCATAACAATAGTGTGTGTGTGTGCGTGTGTTTATCCATTCCTAAGTCATTGTGTGTAGTCATCAGATTTCTGTTGACACAGTAAACTCTACACCAGTGCAGAACAAACAGTTGTGTGTTTTGTATATGGCTTGATGTCACACGTTGGTCTCCTGGATATAAGGATCTATTCTCTAGAAGAATAATAACCTTCAGGTGTGGTCCTAAGGTGTTCAATAATAAAAATTGATACGCTCTTATCAAAGCTCTCCACTAGGAATGGTTACTAAAGACCCTTACAACTGAAATACATAAACTGTGTGCTTCATTGTTTCTTCTTTATCTTAAGTTAAATGCTACCAATGACAATGCTAACATGCTGATGTTTTAGCATGTATAGTGTTTACCATCGTAGTTTAGCGTGTTAACATTTGCTAATTAGCACTAAACACAATGTACAGCGGCTGGGATGCTGGGATGCTGGGAATGGTTTTGCAGGTATTTGGTCATAAACCAAAGTATCGGACACATTTAAATTGTGTCCTGATGATGGGGCTATAGGAAAAGTCAGGGATTCAACCTATTGGGAGCATGAATGTCTAACAAAGTCTTGCGTCAGTCAGTCTGGACCAAAGAACATCACTGGAATACACAGACATTGCCATTCCTAGAGCCATGCTGCTAGTATGACTAAAAATGATGTTGAGCTGGTAGCTGCATTAGTCCTTGAGTTTAAAATCCTGCAGACAAGAAATTCCATAAAGTTACATGCATGATTCTTTGAGTGAAAAAATAACATTTCCACCTCCTACATCTGGGATGTCAGAAATTACTCTCTGTGCAACAATTAAACAATTTCTAATCTTAACTTTGCATCATCACTCACTTGACTGAGGTGTCACACCGGTTTGTTTCGCATCTACTTTATGGGTGTGTTAATAGAAAGTAGTATACAAACTGTGCACAGCACTGTGTTTGTTCTATTGTGGGATTTTTTAGGGTAATAAATAATGTGCAAGACACACACTCTGTACACTCAAATAAGGAGGTTAACTGTTGTGGCCTGTTAGTAGCTGATATAGGCACAAGGCTTAGCTAATTAATTCCCCTCGATGAAACACATTCTTTTTCCAGTTCTATCTGTGCAGTGACTTACTTACTAGTACTTACATTGTAAACAGAGAGTGATTTAGGAGACTGCCATGGAATATGTAACTGGGCGGAGAGATATGGTCAGTGTGATGGACAACAACTTGTCCAGTTCCATATTTTGAGCTTTGGTGCCAAGGCCACATTGTTGTTGGCTGCATGTTTGATATGTTGCATCACGCTTACTCACTTTACTGCATTGATTTAAAAGTACACTGCTTCCTCGGGGCCAATTCCATTTCATCCCTAAAGTAAAATGACCAGCATGTGTTTCAGTAATAAACCCAATAAAATATCACCCAAAATACATCTCAGTGTGTGTACCAGCTGCACAACTCAGATGAAGACCAATGGCCGATTTTATTGGTCCTGGAGGTAATAACCGTGAAAGTGATATTGTAATGAAGGCAGTGGCTGCATGAGGGACGTAGCAATAAAGTTGAGTGGAATGAAGAAACGGAAGAGGGAAGTGGCTGTTCCCCGCTCTCAATGTCTTTTCTGTGCTCTCCTCTACAGATTATTATTCACAAACCTTTCCTTCCTTTCTTCTCTCTCTGACCACTGGCCACTTCTCAATCTCTACCTACTTAGCAAACTGATTTTAGTAATCCATCCTACTTTTTCCCTCTCCTTCTTCATTTCTCTCCATTTCTTTTGTTGCACCTTGTTATTATAATCCCTCTTTCTTTGCCGCTGTCGGTCTCTTAATGCTCCAGTTCACCAGACTGAAATCAAAGGCTGCTGAACTGCTATGAAATGCCTGAATACTCAATAGGCCCCATGGTGTGTTTTTTTTAATGACACACACGCCAGAGGGAGATGTTTTTAGTAACTCCTGCCTCGGACTGATTAATAAGGCACGAGAGAGTTGAAATGACATTACCAACTTCTTGCAGGTAATTAAGTATTTGGAAATGGAAATGTGTCAGAAGTTTAAATGGTTTGGCTTGGATGAAATCTAAATGCAGTTCTTTGTGTTGGTCACCATTTTGGCAATTCAACTTAACTATGGCCTTAGAGTACATTCTTCTATATTCTTAGCACTTTTTTTCTATATTCCTCAGACTCTCACCTTTGCATCCAATTTTACTTCGACATTATCACTCTGACGCCACTCCCTCCTCACCTCTTCCCCTCACCCCTCCTCCACATCACACCACCTCTTCTTTTTCTCAGCTGACTCTCTCTCTCCTGCTGTCATTACTATCTCTCTAACACCCCCCTTTTGCTGCAAAACTCATCCCTCCTCCTTCCTTCTCCAATATCTCTTCCTAGATTGCTCTCTCGGTAATGCCCCAGACTTTCTCTCCCTTTCTCAGACTCCGTGTCTCTCTCAACAAAAATGTTTGCACATTTTTAAAAAATCGCAATAACACACTAAATAACTTATACAAAAGTCTGTACACATTTTTTCCTTATTGAAAATAGTAGGCAGACTACTACTAGTAGTAGGGCTGTAATGGTTTTGAAACAGTGACCAAAATTGAGACACAAAAGTCCACGATCTGGTGTCGCGGATCCGAGAGACAGAACCGCGACACACCCACTCATTGGACTGTTTAGCTCTCATTATGACCGGCCAGTGGAGGGTGAGCTCGGTAGTGCTAGTGCTGTATAGCCTATTGTAGGTTATTTGTATTAACAGTAGATTATTGTAGGTAACTGTCCACCTTAGATTAGTGTTCATTTACTTGAATCTGCTCCTCTGCTCTTCTCCCCACACTCACACACACCTAGCCTGCACCTCTGGTCTCTCACGGAAAACAGGCCGGCTTGCTCCACCTCTTTTTTGTCTCTCTCTCCCTGTTTATGCTGATTTTCTCCATCAGCAGTCCATTTCCTAAAGTCGCCGTGTTTAATAAACTCACACGTGATTCAGTTTTCTAGTGCGCCGCATCTGGATTGAAAGTGAAGTGAGTGACATCTGCAGTGGTGCATTCACTGTCGCTCCGTAATGTAACATTTCCTGCGTGTCCGTTGACATAATACCAGATAACCTCTCCCTCACCAAGTGGGTTGCCAAATATACTTTGGCAGGTGTAACTATACCTGTCCGGCCCACCCAAGTAGAGTATATGTTGAAAACACTTAAGTTAGTGCAAGCTGTAGGCCTATATTTTGTAAATATTACACCTTATAAACCCCTTTTCTTGGTATGAAACAATACCAAGAAACAAAACACCAGGAGACTGTTGGTGAAGGCCAACCAAGAGCCATGGAGGTGTCATTTGACTCAATTTGTTCGCTATTAGTAAGTAATTACATCATCTGTCAGCTGTTGGGGGGACTCAGCTTTTCTTTCTAGTAGGGGGGGCGCCAAGGAAAAAAAGTTGGGAGCCACTGCTCTAGAGCAACCACAGAGATGGAGTAGGGTGCAGCAACTAGGAGTATGGTGGAAAAACCTAAAAAGTGTCTGAGAAAAGTTTCTGATGCTTCAAATAAAAAAGAAACTCTGCGTTCATTGAGGATTACAGTCAAGAAAAAAAAAGATAGCGCTTGGCAAGGACAAACAAGACATAACAGGGGTGTTGCTTTTCCTTGTTGGAGAATGCTGAGAGAAGAGAAGTGACTGAGGGCAGACACGGAGGTCACGTTACTGCTTTTGGATAGGTTAGTTTTTGTAACATATTTTGAGTATATTGACTATGTATCTATTACATTTACTGTAAAAGCAGTTATATTTTTCCCAAATAACCCCCGCATCTGGGAAAAGTTGTCGTTATTAAATTAATTTAAAAGAATGGTTTGGGAAACGTGGAAATCGCCACTCTCATGTCTATATGTCATGGTAAACATGAAGCTACAACCAGCAGCTGGTTAGCTTAGCTTATCATAAAGACTGGAAACAGGGAAAAGGCTAGCCTTGCTCTGTCCAAAGGTAACAAAAACTGCATTTTTTATCTTTGTACAGACAGAGCTAGGTTTTCTCCATTGTCTTTGTGCTAATGTACTAACCAGCTACTAGTCCTAGCTACATATTTAGCATACAGACACGACAGTGGTATCAATCTTCCCATCTAACTCTCACCAAGAAATGTGGTACATAACAATCTACTACTAGTAATGAGGGAAGGGGGTAAAGGAACTGTCCGGAGGCCACCTCCTCCCCCTGACATGCATACAGTATGTAAACACAATCCTAAACAATATTAGGTGATAGAATAGGTCCCTTCAGGCTTCAGATCTGTGCTCTGTAGTCTAGCCATTAAAGTAAGAATGAAATAAAATATAATAAAATAAAAGTGAAATAAAAACTGTGAATTGTGTGAGCACTACATCAGTATTCCAATGGGGAAGTGGGGCGTTTTAAGAGGCTATAACTGGCGTGACAGATGATTAGGCAGCAGGGCTGATGTCAATTATCTTGCAATTTACATCATTCAGGAAGTGATTTGTCAGGAGAACTGTTCTAGCTGGGTGGCTTTAACTCATAATGAAATCATAAAGAATGAAAAGTCTATGATTATGAGTCAGTGTTTTAGTTTAAAAGTACAATTTTGAGCGTGCAGAATTGAGTGTAGCGTTTGTGTAGCGCAAGAGGACAAACTGTTGGGAAGACAGATGAACCACTAGTAGATATTGACAGTGACACTATTCAGTGGTCTGGTGATTCTCATTTGAAATCGGTAAAAAGGGGCGACCACGCATGCAACACAAATCAGCTACGACTTATGGTGTGTGGTGAGAAGACACTCTTCTACTTCTCATTTGTAAGTTTGAGATTTGTACTTTCAAGCCAAGTCAAAAACTGCTGTAACTTAAAAATTGCTGACAAAAATAATTCATGCATGTAATATACATATTTATGTTTTAGCATAGTGGTAGTCACATTACATTAGAGTTTATGTTATGTGTATAGTTTTTCTGTTGATTAATTCCTCCAATGTTTTCAACTTTCATTAATAAGCTTTCTGTTTTGGTGAAAATAGAGAGAGTTCTGCTGGCTTGGCAAGAAAGCAGCAATGCACACAGTGAGGGGAGGTGTCTCACCGACAGTGAGGGATCGTGGGAAGTGTAGCTGGCCCAACGTTCATTCTCCAGCTCCTCCATCACCTACAGCATGCACAGAGAGAGCGGAGGGGGGTTTATACACATATTGCAAACACGCACACTCACTCACACACCCACACGGCACTGCACAAACTGGAGCTAATGCACAAAAGGACTTAAATACACACACAGTTGCATGTATGAATGCACTCAAACATTTAACTTCAGGCTTACAAACACACGTATGTACGGTAAAGGTAAACACTTTTGCCAACACTCACAGACAAAACACACCTGGTTCATGGCGCTCTTCAGCCAGGTATCAACAGCAACCCCCACTTGCCGCAGAAGGTCCAACCGAGCCTCAGCTTTTAACTTTATTGTCTTTGGAGAGAGAGACAGGGTTAAAAATATTAAGAAAATCTCATATATCTATTATATACTGTATATATAATACATCAGTCTTAAAAAGAGCATCACTTTTTTTTACTTGTGTCCCACTGTGAGCCCATATCTCTGCAGTTACCCTGCTGAGTAAACTATGAAAATAAGGATTTTAAAAATCTCAGTTTGGTCTCAATGTTGCTAAAGTGTCAGACATCTTGCTTTATATGTAGTCTGTAGTGGTAACCTCTTTCCCAGTAACAGAAAACTAGCCCCTTATACTGGACAGATGAGTAAATATTTCTTAGCCATGTTGCTGAAAGAAAACAAATAGTCCATAACAATATAATTAGATATTACCAAACATCACTATATACAGTAAGCACCCAAATGGGAGCCATTTCTCATACACAATTGGTTTTTGAACTGATGCAGAGAGCAAACATTACAATAACCAAATGTCTCCAGTTATGATACACCTCTCATGCATACAGTAATATTTTTAAACTAGTTAAATTGAACCTCATAGCCATCTTAAAATCAAACTTCACTGGAAAATATATACTTTCTTTATAAAAGTATACTTTTTTTTACCTTTCAGCTGTATTAGTTCACCTGCAGCACAGTACAGTAACAGAGTGAGGATGTGAAATGGATCTGCACAATGTAGCCTCCTAAGTGGCAAATCATCACAACTTTCTGTACTTTCTTTTAACGAGCTGTGAACACTGGACATGTGCTGTGTTCTTTTCTAATGAGACAATAAGATGATGCTATAATCACCAGTAGGGAAACCACTGAGATTTAGATTCAATATGTCGCTCCTCCTCAACTCTCTTTCATCTCGGATCCTTTCTCTTTTTTTTCCTCCTGCTGTCTCTCACCATTTTCATCAATTTCCTCTTTCATTACCCTCTTCTTTCCTTTCTCACCAATGCTGACGGAGCCAATTGATAGCTGATAACTCCCTCCGACAGAGACATGCAGTCAGACAGAGTATGCAAGGTTTTACAATGTCAAACATAAAGAGGCACAGTGGGATCAAATTGGACAATTACGACCAATATGTACAGTAAAAGTTTGTTTCCTGATGTTTATACAACATTATCCGGCTAAGAAGAAGAAAAATATGTCACGTATTTCCCACAATTTTCCAATCCCTTTTAGTTTTGTTTGCTTGCTGGAAAGTGTCTGGGCGTACAGTCTTGTCTCTATCTTCTGTCTGAAGGATTTTGATTTTCATGTTAATGAGGCTAGATTGTCTGGTGGAGCCAGCGTGAGAACAGCCTTCAACAGATCATTAGTATGGAGCCTCAACTGTTCTCACTCTCTCATCCTCTAAGAACAACTTAGAAAGACGAAAACGGCAGAGAAGAGGCCAATAATTATCTGATATCACTGTGGGGAATTTCTGATGGAACGTCTGCTTCATTTGAAAGTATGCTGTGAGAGAGGAACGATAAACACAAACACGCAAGAAACTTGATATAAAAGATAGCACAATCACTTTTTGCGTCTGCCACTAGGTAGAAAGCTTTAATGCACTGGTTTGTCAAAGAATATACTTTGTAGGAAATGTCTGTATGCGATAATATCTCTCTCTCTATATATATATATCTGTAGAAATGCAGTGCAGATGCCATGTTGTATTTCAAATATTGGAGATATACTGAGAGTGAGAATAAAACAGCTCACAGATTTTATTTATATTTTTTCCTCAAGAAAATGTCATGTGTGTCTATTTTTCCTCTTGATTTATCTTCATCTCTGAAGCATGTTGCTCTATTAATTACAACAGCTCCAGTACACAGGGCTAGCCTGAGGCACACTGTTTTTATATAAAAATTTGATACAATACAGTATATATAATCCATTTAATTTTATGTTATGAAAGTTTGCACCGACACATCATAGCACAGATCACTTAATCATGCAGGTAAATTCTGTTACTGTAATAACTATTGGAGTAATTTCAGAGAAAGAGTTTCAGTATCCAGAGTCTTTTATCGAGCACTCAGGCAGAGGCCATAAAATCAGCATTAGTGGAGAGTAAAGAATACATGACTCTACTCTTTCTATCAGTGTTAACTGACTCCATTCAGAGGTGAGAAGAACAGGTGTGTACCACTGAATCCTGCAGAATAGAATTCCTTTTTCCTTCATCTGTGACAAGAAAGCAACACATTTAGTGTGACATTTAGTTTTGTGCTATTTAATTTATAAAGTCATGTGACCATATCACAAGAAATTAAATTCCTCCATAAAGAAATGAACACTACTCAATCTGACAATGATCTACCATTGTGTCTAGTTATGTGCATGATGGCAGCAGCCTCCCTGGATTTGTAACATATTCTTAAAATCACCATAAACCCTGAATAAACAGTTTGCACAGTTAATAAACAGGTCTGCCAGCTCTTGAAAGTTGTACATGATTCAAAGCATTGGTATTTATGCTCCCTGCATCGTGTCTCCCCAAAAATATCCAGTGTGAAAATTGCAGGATAAGTGAGGAAACCTGCCGACATTAGTCTCAATCCATCATGTTTATTAAACCTATCTCGAATAAACCCAAAAAATTGTATCTTTTTCGCAATATCCCCTGCAGCTTGACATGCAGTAAATTATCACATTTGTATCACAGACAGCATCGACTCTAAACATTGATTTTGAAACACAGTTGGCCGTCAACGCAAATTAGACAAATCAGTAAAAATCACTAAGTGGGGACAAGTAGCGAGGTCAGCTATCAATCCTTCTTACTCGCTGGTAGCAGCCTTCTTTAGCTCGCGTTTCAAACATGCTGCTTCTCAAACTCCAATGAGTTTTCAGCTGATGATGATATCCAAAGATGATACCACCGTAAAACCAGGATAATTACCCAGCAAAACCTAACACCAGGCATTCCTCCACTGAGTACAGATGCCTTAAAAATATCTTTAAATACAAAAATCCTAAATATAGGCCTAGCTTCATTTCTTGCTACGAAGGTGTTGAAAAAGGCCACTGCAACAAGCTTGATGGGATGAAGGTGTGACTTCATGTAAAAGGAAAGAATGATGCAATCACTATCCAGATAATGCTGTACTCAAACCTGGATGATGTCTTTTGTACAGCTTTCACTCCCTTTATACTCCTGTGATGGGAGCTCTGTGATGAAGCCATTTTTACCAAATGAGCTCATAAAATATTCATCATCTCACTCAAGGTAATGCTGGCCCTGAAGACCAAAGAATGGCAGACAGACAGTGTGAGCGAGAGAGACAGGGGAGTAGGAAAAAAGTAGGGAGGCTGCATGTTTGCACTTGAAAAGACTCTCTAATTATTTTGTACAGAGTGAGATGAAGAGATACTGATAATGTTGCTAAAATACTCTTGCAGTGTAAGGTAGACTGAAATAACAGCCTATCTACAAAAGCAGTACAATTAAATAAAATATGCTTAACCAATTATTTACAAAAATACCTTAGAGGATTATACATATACACACACATATATATATATATATATATATATAGGAACACACACACAGGGTAATAGAGGTGAAATGTTATTTGACCAAACCTGACAGCAGAGGGTGCCAGATATATGAAAAGCCTGATAAGAAAAGGAATGAAGGCAAATAGATACAGTGCAAGGGAGAGAATGAGCTCAGCTAAAGTGAAGAAAGACAATGAAATTGAGGAACAGACGGATGATGCAGTGATCTCATTCAGTGGCTGACAGGTTGAATCTGCGAGAATCAATACATTAATGATATATACCTCTGTAAGTGGAAAGACTGAGAAGTGCAGACAGAAAAAGAGAGGGAGCTTGAACACAAGATGAGAAAGAGAAAGAGGCAGATGAGGAGGGAGAGGCAGAGGAGTCAAAATAAGAGCTAAAATAGCAAGTGATCTAAGAAAAAAATGGAAATCGTAGTATTAGAGCTAATAGTTAAAATATTATCAATCAGTTTTAGAGCTTTACAGCCATCATACCTGTGGTTGAGACAGACACAAACAAGTGTGTTTAAACCTCTACAACTGAACAGAATGCAGCAAAATCATGTACAGCTGGGGATTATTGGGCTTTGTGGATAAGAATAGTCGAATAACTTGAATGATTTGACATTTACTGCGATGTGAAAGGTGTACTGATCGATCCTGGGCCATCTTTGTTAATTGCTCCCTGCTACATGAGCTGTGCAAGTGAGCAGACTGACTGCCGACTCCCAGTCACGTAGCCCAAATACAGGGTAAAGGAAATATGGGACAGGGCTTATGTTGTTACTGGTACAGAGGGCTTGTTTGCTAGGGTAATGTTGCATTGATGTTACAACAGGAAGTGAGTCTACTCCCACTATTTTAGAGATAAAAACTTTTGCAGTGGACGAAGTATTCACATCCTACTCTTTTTACAGTTCAAATTTCACTATGTGACAATAAAGTACCTTACCTTACCATACCTAAGTAAAAGTACTAATTCCACACTATAAAAATACTCTGTTACAAGTAAAATTACTGCATTAAAATGTTTCTTAAGTAAATATCTTAGTATAATGTTTTAGTATGTAAGTATAATCAGGAATATACTTATAGTATTAAAAGTAAAAGTACTCAGAGCAGAAAGAAAAATGTCCGCTGTGACTGTTACTATTATGGTCAAGCAGAATTTTACTGTTGTAGTTCATTGAGGTTGAACAATTATGTATGACAATGCAATTAAAGACTTTTTTTCATTATGGATTCATCTGTTGACAATTTTTTTCAGTTAATCGGCTATAAAAATTTTCAGAATGGTGAGAAATGCCATCACATTTGCCCAGAACCCAAAGTGACACCTTCACAATGCTTATTTTGTCAGTCCAAACCTCAAAATGATTAAAAATAAATTAAAGTAATCAAAAGGAAGAGCAGAAAATCTTCAAATTTGTGAAGGTGGGACCATGAAGTGTTTTTACAAGAAATGTCTTAAATGATTATCAAAATAGTTGCCAATTAAATTTCTGTGGATCAACGAACGTACTAGCTGTACTTGTACAAACTTTTGGGAAGTTTATTTATAACAAAACATATATTTTTTTTTACTATTCATATGTTTTGTGTGTAAAAATCTTAATATGAAATGTAAGTAGCAACTAAAGCTGTCAGATACATGTTGTAAAGTATCTAAATCTAATAAAGTATAATATTACCCTGAGATGTATTGGAGTAGAAGTAGAAAGTAGCATGGAAAGAAAAGACTCAAATACCTCTAATTTGTACTTGTTAAATATACTTTGTTACTGTTCACAACTGAAAAAGTCAAATTCACTCCTTTCCCCCTTGTACTGAAGGTTTGTTGGAGAAGAGTCATTCATCTTTTTCATTTCAAAAGCGTGGACACATCTATCCATTCGTTCTACATTCCCACCGTATCCTGTGCATGGTATTAGAGGCTGGAGCCTCACCTACAGTAGAACAGGACGCCAGTCTCATCACAGAGCTAACGCACAGACAGACAACCATATTTACACACAATTTAGAGTTTCCAGTTCACCTGATTTTGCATGTCTCTGGACTGTGAAAGGAAAATGGCCCAGAAACACAGAAGAAACCCATGAGGAAAACCGACAAGGGCTGAGTTTAAATGCAGACACTTGAGGCAGAGCAGTGCAATGGGTTAAATAGCTTTGTAATCAAAAACAAATGTCGACATACCTCAGCTTTGCGTATGTTTTCTTTGGTGTCTTCTATCTTCATCTCCAGATCTAGTCTGCCCTGTTCTGTGGGGGGCAAGCCGTGGCCCTCACACTCCTCCAGACACTGAAAGCAACACATACAACGACATCACTTGATTAGAAATAGTGCGTTTCAAAATAAACTTCATTCATATTCACATATTTGGTATATTCTAAAATGGGTACATGTGACAAATCTGAGTGTGTCAGTGTATCCCCCTTACTCTCTTGTAATGTATGATATTCTTGTGTTCTCTGGCCACTCTGGTCGCCCATTTTCTGGCTTCCTTGTTGAGGCTGTGCTCCTCTGTCGTCCCCGTCTCTGATTCCAGCTGACGACTCTAAGATAACACACACACACACACACACACACACACACACACACATAACCCAGACAGGCATGGGTAGACACACACATGTACCCAGCCCCACACACACACACACACGCACACACCAGCATGGCAGGCAAACACATACATACACAAGCGCACACATAAGTACACTGTCAGCGGGTAACGGCACAAGGTGTGTGATATGCTGAAGCTGTTAATGAATCTAAAGAAAGTGTGAAAGAGAGATTGTTTCCTTCTCACATTATGAATACAGCGTGTGTTGCAAAGCTCTATTGTTATCCTCTTGGAATGAAATAACTGCTATTAAAACCACATGTGAAAGAGCATGAGTGTGTGTTTTTGTGTGTACTGAAGTACTGAGAGCTGGAGCTGCATGGCAACAGGCCTTTTTATATGTGTCTTTTTTTTTTTTTTTACATACAAAAGCACATACGTGGGCGTGTCGAAGAATCTGCATTGCTTTCCAATAAAAAATTCAACATCAATGATAACCATATGGTCTCTTCAGAGACTAATGTATTACATGTGTCTTTAAGTTCCAAGTTTACACACCTTTTCACTAATCCACTTACCAACGACAGAAGCAGCATACATTTTATTTAAAATAATTTCTCAAATGCCCCGGAAACGTATTTTTTCAATCAGTAATGGGATCCCTCATAAATGCACAATTCTGATCAAACCATACACGCATAGTGCTGATTAACTGAGATTTTAATGATCCAATTCTAAATAAATTCTAAATTCTTTAGTCTAGTTTATTTTTTTGAGGGTTTTAAAGGAACAAGAAAGATCTGTTGATGTGTTGATTATCCAAAAGTGGCTCTTTAATTCAGTCTCATTTCCATGACACTAATCAAAATGATATGGTTAGCTGTTCTACGTGAAAAAAAACCTGATGTCCTTTCTCTCCTTCTAATTTACAATATTTATATGGCACACACATATATATATATCCTTAAACAAAAGTATTCTGTACATTTGCTGCTTTATGCCTTTGTTTTAAAATCTAATTTCTCAAATACTCAATTTTATGATGTATTTTTTCTTGTTCACAAAAGTGACTCCGATTTGATCTTTTCATTGCTGTCTACCATAAATATCATCCATACAGTGTTAGGGAAACAAAAAAGTTCTTTGTGTAACCCTGTAAATGTGTTGTCCCATTTGATTCACTGTTTAAATGAATGCAGAAGCTCTGTTTTGCAGAAATAAGTGTGCCTAACGTTTATACAAATTTTGTGTGTATCAGTGGCCAAAATGTTTTGAAATATTGCAACAACGTAAGGTCTATTCTGACTATAGGCAGAAAAAAATGGCCACTTCCACTAGAAAACTAACTGAGGATATTCATATTCTCAGTGTAAGTGATGTGTGTTCAAAGACCTGAGAGGCTGGGGCTCCCATAATCTGATAATAAAAGTACAAGCTATTTTAATTGCAAGTTTCCATGCACATCATATCGGTTAATTATGTGCTGCTTCAGTAACAAGAGGGCATAAATCTGGGTAAGTATAGGTGCGAAACGAAGAGCATTACATGGGAGATTTACAGCTTAATTACATTCCGGCTAGGAAGTATGGCAGGATGTTACAGTAAGGCAGGGAGGCAGAAAACTACATTTGAACAGTGGCTGACGTGCCGTGGAGAGATTTGTGACTTGATAGTCTGCTAAAGTTATTGGTATAATGTTAAAAGAATAATCTGAGTAAATAAGAGTTTCTTTCAGGTGGCCTTCAGGTGGTTGCAGGGAAAATGTGAATACTGCCATGTAAAATACTTTGAATCTTCTCCTTACATGTGACCTTTCACTGACCTTCTGTGATGCTGTTTGTTTCAAATACTCATTCTCTACATCAGCTTTATGTTTACTCCTAAAGCATGCTGGTAGCCACTAAAAAAGTCCTATATTAATCAGATTGCATTCTAAATGTGCCAATACTAAGTATTCATTTATCAGAGCACAATTATAAACACTCGGCAGCTACTGTAAATTAGTAAGTCTGCCAGCTAAGGGAAATGTAAAGTACAGCACAGTGAACTAAAAATGTCTGGTGTGATCATACTGTACTTCAATAACAACCTCTACTGTCATAATAACAGTCATTTAGAGTACTGGATAGAACAACTGTGTTATTATGAAACCACAGGGATGAAGAGGTGTCAAAGTGTAGCTGTCTGCGCAAATGGGAAAAACGGAATATGCTGGTAGGAAAGTGTGTGTTTTAAAAGTGTATTTTCATTCATTGAAGACGTGTATCACGTAATCGCAATATATGTAGTTCGATGCCAGCTGAGGACTCTTGGTCTATGTCACTCTGTGCCACAGTCTAAGCACTTGTTGTAGGTCTTTTCTATCATATTACTGTAATGAATAAATAAAAACAAGTTTGCCACAATAACAAGCTACTACTATCTGTTCTAATGCAGATCTGCATCATTTCACACAAGTCCCAGCTTGCAGAGACATACCGCTGTCTTGACTAATCTAATACATCACGTTGAACATCAGCTGTATCACACTTAATGTAAGGTAGCAGTATTTCTATGTAAGCTGCTTTAATGGTTTTTTTTTAAAGCAGTGGGAGTCTCCAGGGTGTCTGCACATCCTGCAGCAAAACAGAGCAGTGCCCTCTGACTGTGGCAAATGCTTTGCTATGATTACACTTACTATACCCATTAATAGCAAAAAGAAACATATGTTGTTTTCCTAATAAACAGCTAGAGAAAATAGTTGTACAGGCAAAGAGCTGCTTGTAAACCAGCATACTTAATCAAATTTAGTCTTAGTTTTAGTATTATTTAACATATTAAACATTTTCTGTTTCATAGGGTGCTCCTTGCAGATGCAGACACATAATAATAAACTTTCTTCCTTCCTTCCTTTCTTTATAATATATAAACATACACAATACTAACACCTCACATTAAACATATAGCTTGATTTTGGTGTGGTGGTTTGGTATGGGTGAGAAAAGGCAGAAGGCAGGAGAAAATATACACGTACAAACAACAAAAATAAAAACAAAACAAAGCACCTGCAATGGCCATATTTTGAACACATAACACACTACAAAGGTGCACACCAAACATTTAACTCATTTATCTACAGGAGGGTGATGACAGGCATAGCGATATCTCAAAAGATGATGCAACAGGGTTACAGCATCTACTGAGTCATCTGGTGCTGGGATTGCATTGCTCACCAACACATGACAGTATCACAGCATTACAGTTCTGTGAACATAACAGTGGTATTTAGTAATCCATATATGTGGCTCTCTTGTTTCATTATCATGGAGCAACTAGACAACACAGGATAAGAGCTCTTATAGTAATATTAGATTTATTACCCCCTAATAGACAGGTTCCTATTTACGAGCAATCGAGGATGTGCGCGCAGCAGGGAGAGCAGGAAGGTAACTGCTACAATGTCAACCCTATTTATGGCCAGTTTCAGTATATATAACTTAAGTAACTTCCTGGAAATCAGTAAAATCACACTTTAGAGGTCACATCGTATGTAATCGTATGTGTAATATGTGACACTCATCCTTGCATTTTTCCAAAACGCCTGTTACCACATGCCACCTTTGCTAGGTGTCTGTCAGCTCTGGCGAACACATGATGACACAGACTCCAGAAAGAGAAGCGGCGGAGAGAAACGGCAGCTATTAGCAGTGATAACTGCTAAACTATTTTTTTACCCCATATGTGTGCGAGTGCATCTTACTGGTGACGTCGCTCGGAAAGACATCTATAGCAATCGCTTACTTGACATCAGATCACAGGATGGGTTGGCTTTAAAAGTTCCTCATTAACAACTCAGGACTTGGGAAGACTGGTTGCCGGTACTAGCTTGAAACACTAATTCCTCTGAAAGACTTTGAAGTTTTACTAGCTTATATTTCCAATAATGGAACGGCTTTCAGAGCATCACATCTATTTGTCAGGTTTATTCTTATTTTTTTACATCAACAACAACATAATGTCATAGCTGTAACTGTAGCCACCCCTGTGTGGTCTATTACTATGGTCTTTACTATGACAAACGGACTTGGGGACTCTGATAACTAAAGTTCCTTTGCAATAACTTTTACACTAATTAAGTAAAAGAGGAAAACATGCACACATTATTTCTGTGGTTTTGGACCTGACCACCATTTGCCAAGATGAAAAAAGTTGTCTAATGTGAACCCTTCTTCTATTTTACATGCACAAGCTCCTGTGTAGAAAGTCTTTGTGTTGAAGCTAGCTAGACATGTTATTATGACCACTCCACTTTCTGTTTAGTAAGAGGGATGGGCCCACGCTGCATGCCAGGAAGGATAGATGGGGTGTGAAGGTTATTCTAGTTGACCTAATGTATTATGACTATCTCCCGTCAATCAGGATGTAGGGCCCCTTTCGAAAGGAAATGGTTATGTAAAATAACCATGGTGTCACGACTGCAGGCAGATACAGTAGCCCTTTAATGAGTCAGAGTCATAATTTTACAATGTGATTCTGAGCATACAGCAGAATGATCATGAAGCATACTAGATGTAGAGCAGTTTGGCTTCCACACAAATAGCAGTCACTTTTGTAGAGCATAAGCAAAAGTGAAATTCCAAGTTAGAGAGTTAAGTTGTTCTGTCGTCTGCATACATAGTGATTCATATATTAACAGTATCATGCAATATGTCAATCAAAGTACCAGGTGTTAAGAGAGAACTGCAGTATTAAAAAATTTACCAAGGCTTTGTTAAGCAATGAATGAGCTGTAAATGTTTAATACAGTTCAAGTCAATGTCACACGGACATATAGATAAATTAATGAAGTAGATGATTCATGGTTTGTGTCAGGAATGAAGATGGGAATGCTAACAACAGTTAAGACTACCTGTGCCAGGGTCATTCTCATGGCACTGACGGGCGACGGCTCAATGTCCACCAACTGCTGCACCGAGCTCAGAGTCTGGCACACACACATACACACAGGCAAGCACCCGTGCGTCCCATCCACACACCCAAGAGCAGCAGTGCAAGCACACAGACACACAAATACAAGGAGGGGAGGGGGTTAATGGGAAAAAAGTTTAGGGAAAAGTGTTAGCAAAGGTTGAACAGGATTAGGAAGACAGAGAAGGAATAACACTTTGTTGTTAAGAGAAATGTTAGAGCACCAGTTTAAAAAAAGAGGGAAAGAGAGGGACATTTGGCAGAACACAGTGAGAAAGAGAGAGTGATAGAAAGAAAGAGGCTGAGAAACAAGAGCACACAAAATGACTCAGACACAAGAGATACAGATTGCTATAGAGGAATCAGGACCAATGTCCACTGGGAGACATTTCTTTTTTAGCCAGTAATACTTAACAAGTCCTCGAGAGGGGTGAGACAGCATGATTCCCACTGCTGCATTACGATCACACAGGCCCTGATCAATTTACGCCAATTTGAAATATTTTTAACATTCAGCAACTTGATTTGCAAAAAAAAAAGAAGAAGAAAGTTCCACTTAATATAAATGATGAATGGGACTACAAAGAAAAGTTCCCAGTGGACACATAACATTTTGGCACTGAAATGATTAATATTAGAACACAGAATAGATCCATGCTGCTATCATGCTGTCACCAGACACTAGTTAACTGGACAACTCCATCCTGAATTGTTAACATAAAGAAATCTCCAAAGGCTGGAAACAAAAGAGCCAAAGCTCTCTCTAGAGAATAATAATGATCAGAGCGTTGGCTCTCTGATTTCCAGCTTGGCAAGCCTCTCAGCCCCAGATGTATTAATGGGATTTTCAAATAAAAAAAGAATAAAAGTGCATGAATTCTGTTTCAGTGATTCAACTGATTGAGATGAACTAAGGACTTCAGCTGCAGATGTAAAATTCAACAGTGGAGGTATTTAGCAACACAAGAGGCTGATTACTAGCTGTGTGTGTGTTTGTGTGTGTGTGTGTGTGTCTTGTTTGAAAAAGACAGGAGGGGAGAGATACAGTGACTGTCCTGCTGTGTGAACAGGTTCATATACAAACAATAAAACAACAGCTGCATGTATATGGACATGAATACAGTGGAAGTGTGTGCAAATGTGTGTCTCTCTCACCGTGTCACATTCGCTGGGCTGGAACTGGAAGTCGTGTGCTTTGTGAAACACAGGGTTCTCCTGCATGAACAACTGCTGGTTGAACTCTTGTATTATCTGCGAGAAAGACAGAAGGATAGTTAATCCAGGGCACGCAAGTTTCCCGCGGTGAAAACTTGTCAATATTGGAATCCACTGCTAACGTCAGTTGATCCACCCTGACTGCAGCCTCCATTCCCTGCGAAGGAGCAAACTACAAATGTTTTACAGCCACATTTAAAGCCTGCAGTGGGTGAGTAATTCATATTCATACATAGTCCTTAGAAATGCCTTGTTAGCATTTCTGCATTTCACAGTGTGAAAATGTTTTTATTAAAATGTTGTATTTGAATAATGCTTCCAAACTCCAATGCTAGGCACAATTCCACTACCATGTAATGTATGAAAAAATTTTGACTAATAATGAACTCCAAATGTCAAGGTGTCCCAAGAAATACAAAGTTTTTGCAAAATAAGCACCTTGATCGTGCTAGGACGTCAAAAAGATTGATGGATGTTCCCCACAGTTCCCATTTTTAAACCAAAAAAGACTATTTTTTACAAATACTATCTTCTAAATGACTACAGAAGGTCTTTGTCTCTCACCACATTTGACTCACCCTGGTTGATTTATCCAACAGGAACTGGAAGGTGTTGTGTGTGGCTTGGGAGGCCTCTAGCTCGGTGCGACACAGTGCTACTAGGTAGTCTTTCACATGCTCGTAGATCCTGCCATCCAGGGCCTAGAGGACAGAGATAGAGAGAAACACCCAGGGTTTCAGTGAAGAATGGATTAATTCAGTGTAATTCCATCATCAAGTCCAGAGCACACAGGAATCAGGAGGAGAAACCAAGAAAGAGACAAGGGAGGGAAAGCGGGTCAAAGAGTGAGGTGAATAAAGCCAGTCACTACAAAAGCTTTAACAATAGTTTTTCTTCCACATTCATTCGGATGTGATGCTCCACTAGAGTTTCGCCTTCACACTTCCAGCAATCGTTATACCACAACTAGTTTGTGACTTGGAGACTGACCACAACAATGCTTGAGCCCTTCCTGTCCCTGTTGTTTTTACAGCCTGTGGGGAACACTTCCCCTTCAGGCATGCGCACGTTATCGATTTGCACTAGTTTGTTTAACTTTGTTGTAGGCGCGTTTTTAACACGAGAAAAGTTTCAACGCTGTTTCTCCTAAAAGCATTGGTGAGCCTTATTCAAATGTATGTTTACTAGGGGGGTGACGATACACTTTGTTCATGAGACAAGACGATTTTATTCCGCTGAAAGTCACAAAATGCAAAACAATGCAGGTGCATTTTGAAATGTTGCTCACAAATTGTTCTTGTATCTGTCAACGCCGTTTACTGTTTCCACCGGGTGCTCAAAATGCTGCTACACAAACGATTAAAAAGTGGCGGGGGCGTCTTCTAAGCTAATTTCACATGCACACTATGTCATGCTGATATTGTGAGACAGCTTTTCGCCTTGATGAGAATTATCATCACATTATAATATCATGAGATCTCGTGGCACACCCCTAATGTTTACATAGTCTTAATATACACAAAGACCATATTACGTGGTAATGCATTTGAGTTCCAGTGAAAACAAGCAGTACTGTTGTAGTATTCATGTTTCACTTGGAAAATTGCCAATCTCACACAATATCGACAATCAAAATACAATTAAACTGTAAGTGTCAGATAGTAGACAAGGCAGACTTGAATCTGACCTCAGGTCACAATATGATAAAAGTGTGATTAAAAGACCCATAGTTCACCCCTACAGGTGTTTTCACTGTCCGTTTAGAACTCCTCTCTGGACTGTTTGGGCGTGTACAAACTGTGATTGATTGAGCTCCCTCACTCTCCCATTAGTTGTGTAGCACTTGTTAGTGTGGGACAACTTGCCCTGTTATCATTTGTATTGGTCCATACAGTTTATGTTCCAGTCCAAGTGTTAAAACTTAAAACACACACACACACACACACACACACACACACACCTCTGGCCAGGTATCACTGCAAAAAAAATCTAGTTTAATGTGGTTTATGTTATATTGCCTTATGCTGCAGAACACAGATATGAAATATCTAATATTGAAATAAACTAAACCTAGAAAGAAAGAGAAAGAAATAGATTAGTAAAAAAGATTAAAACAAACAATGAGAGGCAAGAGCAGGGTGGCAGGAAGTCAAAAGAAGGACAGATATCAAGCAGATGTTTTCATTTGACAGCCCTTATCATTACAGGTTGTGTTGCACCGATATAAATACATTTTAATGAAGTACGCAGACCAAATGAACAGCCTTTCTATGGGGAGCTGAGGTAGTGCTGCCAAGCTGTGGGCCACGCTGCCAAACAGACAGATCAGACAGAGAGGGAGAAGCTAATGGAGAGGAGGAGAAGAGAAGGTAAGAGAGGGACAGTGGGCATTTGAAAAAGGTATAAAAGAGCGAGAGACAGACAGGAAAATGAGTGTATGGGAGACATGCGTGTGTATGAGTCCGTGTGAGAAGTGTTCTTTGGATAGCACTCTAACAGCTGCAGGGGAAGGTGAAGGGGTTCAGATTCCAATTCAACAAAACACAGAGACCGCAGACACACACACACACACACACACTCTCTCAAATACTCAGACACTCATACTCTCCTCTAGCCAAAGTACTTTATAAAAGCTCACACTTTCAGAAACCTGCACTCACTCGGTGCTGGCCAGGAGATGTTTTAGGCCAAGTCTACAACCTCCCCTTAACACCTACACTGACAGAAACAGACACATAAACAGAGTTGTGTCATGATTTTTTTTTAAATATGCACATAAATACACACACAAAAACAATGGGATATGACAAGGAAATTATGTCACTAAGGGTGGGTTGTTGGTTGACTTCTCTCTAAATGTTCCTTCATCATTCTACTCATTTCCTCCTCCGCCTTCTTCCCTTCCTCCCCTCCTTCTTTCATCCATTTACGGTAGTGTTAAAATGGAGTGAGTCAGCTTCCAGAAAAAGCCCCGTTCCCATATCATTGGTCAGTGTGCATGTGTTTGGGTTGAATGACTGCATCGGTCTGAACAATAAGTACAGAACAGTGGGCCAGACAGGGCAGCAGAGGTATATGTGTGTGAGTGTGTGTGTGTGTGTGCGTGTGTGTCTAGCAGAGGACTTAAAAGGTGGACAGTTATGAGAGCATCGTCTGCCACCAGCAGAGGGAGATGTGGAGCAGTCTGTTCTTCCACTGCCCTTTCACTACAACTGTCGCATTGACAAGGACAGTAGCTCTCAGTGTAACATGTGTATGTATAACACTGTAGATGTTATTCCTGCTGCCCCAGCCAGTGCAGTCAGTATTTATGAAGTGAAGTTCAGAGCTTTCAGTCACAATCCTCCTCCCATCCACCTCTAGAAAAGTCTTATATTGTATTGTATCTTTTCACATTCCGTTCATTATCTTCTTCTCTGTGGTTTAACATTAAAGACAGAAATGTCTTGATCTAGCGAAGGAGAGCTGATGAACTTTCACTGCCATTTAGATAGCTATCCTTAAAACATCTGAGTAATGGCATTTAGAAGTATTCTCCCTTTCCCAGAATGCCCTTCCATGGCCATAACCAATGATTTATGTTCACAGCAATGCAATGCACTAAGAGCACAATGGATTTTATAGGAGAAATATAAGAACTATGTAAAATGCCATAAAATTACGATGAATGGAGAAGCCCAAAAGATCATAGTTCTGTTGTTTTACAGCGCTGCTACAATTACTAAAATGTTTTATGGGTTGTATTGTGCTGTTTGGTTATGCATATACTGTAGGCTGCCATTGTTATGTCTGCCATTAATGCTGCTTTCTGGACTGTCTGTGCAGCAAAAAAACCCCTCAAACTGTGAAAAGAACCGGTACTTTCTTGTGATGCAGATTTTTGGCTCCCTTGTTATCAGTGACTTTCAGGTGTAGACCTGTAAACACCACAAATAAAACCGCAGAGGAGAGAGAGGACAAGCAGATTGCTTCCCTCTAGCGATGTCCCTCATTCTCTATGTGTGTTTGCGTTCATGTATTTGTGTATGTGCATATTTCCCTGCAGTCCTGTCCTTCTGTCGCAAGGCACCAAGGATCTATTATTCAGAATGGCCTCATAGTATAGATGCTCATACACGCCTGAGGCAGAGTATGTGAGCGTGAGGGAGAAGGAGAAACAGAAACATGGAGACAGGGAAGAGCATCTGAAGTCAGAGAGGTAATTTACACAAAGGGGGAAAAGGCAAAGAAACAAACTGAAAGCAAAAAGAGACAGAGAGAAGCAGGCTGAAACATTAATGTGCTTTACTTTCAGTTTTAATTCATATATTCTGAATATATGAAACTAAGTGGTTTAGACATCAGCAACATTACAGGTGCAAACTCACCCGCTATTCTAATGTGTATGTCTCCCTGTGTGTGTGTGTGTGTGTGTGTGTGTGTGTGTGTGTCTGCCTGTCACGCCTGCGTGTGTGTTTGCAAGCACACTAGTAAAAACATCATTAAGCAGATTGAGGTGGTACTCCAAGTATCATCGTTACAGTACTGGTGGATTATCTGTGTTCAATTAAAGTCAAAATCAGAATGGACAGACCTGGATTTCGTTCCACAGCGACGTGTTGATATTTTAGTCTAATTCCTTCCTGTGATTTGATTCTGTGCTTGTGTCAAAGAGGTCATGTGGCACCAGATGGATGGACGTTTCTACACACACAAACAGCTACTGCTGATGAAAGAAGTGTGAGGGGTGACAGCAAATTGGCTTCTGTGTCACAACTGAATGCTTTAAGCTGCAGAACTTGCTTTAACGTGATTACTTACAGTGACGGGGTTTATGACTCAAAACTGAGCACATTAATAAAATCATGAGACCGACATCCCGCATTCATATTAACCACAAACAAACCCATGCACAGCTGCATGTCATATGAAGGGGCCAGATGTGATGTGGGCACACAGAAAAAGATGCAGCAAACTTATTTGCATACGTACTTTGAAGATCTTTCGTATTCTATCAACAAAAGTAAGTTTAAAATGAAAAACTACGTCAAAGCTTTCTGATAATTCCTCTTGCCTTGGCACAGTTCATTCAACATTGTGAAAAATGTGAAAATTTCATGCCTACCAATCATTTGGTAAGCGTAGACCTCAGGGTGGCTCATTTGGCAGGTTTTTTTCTTCACATAAGCCCCTTTCAAATCATAAATCCAGACAACTTTATGACTCTCTTTGAAGACGCAAAACTGTGAAATCATCACTTTTTCATGTACGGTATTTCCCCTCCAACTACTTCAGTGATGCTGAAAGTGACTCTGACTTTGTGCACTCATAAAAGGAAAACATTTTTATCCCAAATTGGGCTTCAAAGTAGCTCCCCACTTTTGAATTTTCTAACGAGGAAATGCGTCCTCATTCCTCTGTGTGTGAAGCATCTCAAGTCAGTACTTGTAGCAAAAGAAAATGCTGTTAGAGCATTACGAATTACAATTTCAGCTGCCTGGATTCTACTTCATACAAATTCCACATTCACGGGAAGTATGGGGATACTCTCTCACAACACACATCTTTCAATTCTTTATATTCATCCTCATGTAAATACCTGTATGCAGTGCAGTAGATCTGTATGGTAGTACCGGTCATGGTGAGCGTTGGCAGCAGCTAGTGTTAGCAAGTAGTCATTCCTGGCCTGTGTCGCCTTGGAGTTACAGTCATTTCTCTTGGCTTTCAACTGAAATGAAAGAGAGACAGACAACATTGCAATACTGCATTATAGTTACAGACTGGAGCTTTATGCTTTAAGTGGAGTACACAAGTCTCTTTTTAGGTTCTGGGCTCATTAGAGCAACACAACCACCTTTGTTTTTGTCTTGTGGCTTAAAAGACTTCGCTTGAAAGCCACGCCTTAAAGAGGGAGTGACCAGGTTGTGTCTTGTTGTGATTGCGCCCTCTTACCTTTACACTTGCTTTCTGTAAACTAATTCTTGACTGAAAAAGACCCAGTTTAGACCTGAAAAACAAAACAGAGCAAGCAGAGAAGTTAGTCTTGATGAATAATGCATCAATATCTATATTTTGTAATCAACAAAATTAATATAAAATGATCTATGCTTGCTCACAAAAAAAATCTAATAAAAAGTTTCAAATTTTTGACTACTGACATTCACATTACATTTAACTAGAACAGTGCACTGAGGAGAGTGCAGAGCTCTGCTAGGTGTGTCTGGGGGCTTGTGGATGGAGAAAGAGTGCAGGGCAGGCTGTGTGTCCAGCTTGAGAGTAGTAGAATGAGGGGGAGAAAGCTTTTTGTACAGTACAAGATGTCTTATATAGATGTATGCAACATTTTTAATTAATCTTTGTATAATATACTCTCATGCAGAGAATTGTGTAATGGTATTGTAACTGAGCCTCCTGGCTTCACCTAACTGTATAAACCTAATGAAACAATAAATAGAACAATAAGTTCAAACTTCTGAATTTAAACATTGTTATTTATTTATAAGATTTTCTTATTTATTTAGAAGACACCATATAAAAAATCCTCCCTCTCCCCTCCCAAACAAAGAAGGGTTTTATTCAAGATAGTGGAAAAAATAACAAAAACTAGGATATATTCATCTCGTGTTGTGTCTAACTTTAATGGATGGTAACATATCAGGTATAGAATTAAGCTGCAGATGCTGCGGTTCAAGATGAGACCAAATTTTTTTACTTTTTTTATGGAAAACAGTTTTTGAGCCACGACAAAGCTAGGTAAGCCTTGTTTTTAACTTAGCAGATTGCCAGAAATCCCTTTCGCTATATCATAACGCACACTGTAAAATGGTGAATAATGCTGAAAAGACCAAAGTCTAAGATTTACGACAGGCTGAGTCAATAACATAGGTTTAGACAGATACACACACACACACACACACACACACACACACACACTCACCTCACTCACACCTTGCAGAGAGATAATTAAACACATATAAACAACAAGGTATGGTCGAAAGGAGAAAAAGATCCAGCAGTTTCTACAAAATCATAACTCTGATCTCTAACCTGATTCAGAGTAGGCATCTTATTTTGACCCTGAACAGGCTGGAGCGTCACAGCAATAAATCTCAGCCTGATCCAGCCATCGTGATTTATATCGATGGTGACATCCGAAAGACCTGCCTGATAAAATGATGGATTGAGCCTGTGTGTATGGGTGGTCTGCTCTTTTTGTGTTACTGTGCTTATGTGCATAAAAACAGGACGTATGTAGTCCATTAACTGTCACACATACAGAAGCAAAATGCATCACGAGTGTGTCGAGTTTGAGTATATGTGGCATGTTTCTATCAATGTTGTCCTGCTTTCTGGTGTTAAAGTATAAAGTGTGTGTTGTGTCTACGCAACACCAATTTCTTGATGTGCGTTCCTTGTGGCCTACAATGACTAATGTCTCTACATTTTTCTCTACTTAAACACACACACACACTCACATAGCGGCACAGCAGCAATACAGTAATTTCTGTGGCTGTGTCTTTCAAGTGAGTGATAGAGAACAGAAAAGAGTTGAATGGCCAATCGATGTGGGCCCTAACCGCAGCCGAGAATTCAATGAAGTGAAAATGTCACCATAGATATTTGCTACCTAGGGCTGGGGGGGGACAACACTCATCAGCACTTGATCAAACCTTGGTACTAATTGTGGTACTGCTTCAGCATGTTTAAATCTTATAGTAGAAACTCAAGTTCTTTACTACTCAGTGGACTATTAAGCGAGCAGGCGATTAAACTCACCGAAAAGTAAATGACAATATATTTCAACCTATGTAGAAAGCTGCAGAAAACATTTTCAGATCAGATCAAATAGAGTTTTTATCTGTCCTTTAAAAGAAAAAAATGTGTAAAGACATGATTCAGGTCTAGTTTATTGCTCGGATTCACACCAAGAAAAGTGTTGCCAAACTAAGATTCTGTACTTATGCTCTTCAGGGCCCTTTTCATCTGTATTTTCTTAGTCTGACTCCACCTCATAAACACATCTATACATATGTAATTGGTTGCTTCTTCCAGCCTTAATGATGATGTTTCTCTCTCTCACACACACACATAAATACAACGTTGTTCTCTTGATGGTATTCTTTCTGACAATGGAGACCATCTGTTCACAGCATTTTTACATACATCCCTACCAACACACACAGACGTGCACAGTCCCGCCCGCGGTGAACTCACTTGGCCTCTATGTCCGCCTTCTCCCGTACGGCGTGGGCAACCTGCTCACAGTCATAGTATTTTTTCTTGGCTTTGGCCAACTCTTTCACCGACTCCTGCAGCTCTGCTTGAATGCCACTCAACTGATCTATGGTCTGCAAAAGGGAAAACAGGCAATTTGTGAGAGCATGACATGAGTTACGTTGAATCAACGTGAGTGCGTGGAGGGACGTTGTAGAGAGGGATGAAGAAAACCATGACTAACTCCTTACGGTCCACACATTCACTCACCTTTTTGAGCTGCTGCTCCTTGTAGAGTCTAACAGTCTTAGCGGGCTCGGATACTTGACTTTTGTAGTTGTCGCACACGTTGAGTCTGGACTGGCTCACCTGCACTGTGCCTTCTAAGTAGGACCTCCACACTGCATACACATTCCTAATTGGAGAGCAAAAAGCACATATATGCTGGATGGTTGCTGTTCTATAACTTTCATTCCCAAGGGCAATTTGTTAGAAAAGCATACATTTTTTAATTCCCCAAACCACTGTATGGTTCCCACTGTGGACCTGAGAAACCATATGTGCGTGCACCTGTAGGGGGAAAAGGTTTGTGTAGAAATTTTGTAGTAGAACAAACACCTTAATTTATGGTTTCCACAAAAAGCTGAATAAGTTTTATATTTCAGTGCCTTCAGTGTCTTTCATCTGAGTGGCACAAATCACTGTAGGTACAAGCAGTTTAGAATAGCTGCAAGACCAACATTTGTTTTTAGCTGAGCTTTGTGGGAAGTGTGGTTGCATGTCATATGCACACACACACACACACACACACACACTCCTACCTGTAGTCTGTTCTCTGGTCATCAGGGTTGATTCCAGGCCAGTCCCTCTTTAGGTACTGGCTCGCTAACTTCTGCAGAGCCTGAAAGCACAAGTGTAAGTGTAAAGATGAGGAACTGAATCAAAGAGTGAGTAGGCGAAATAGCTTCTGTTTTCTGATTTGTTTGTAGTGTGTCCAAATGAGAGACTGCTAATATTATGTAAGAAAATAAGGGACAAGGTGGAGAAAAGAACAAGCATGACACTCTGTTGAGTCAAATGTTTTCTTTGTTAGTAAACTTTGGAGTTCATTATTGCCCTTATACCATGACCCCTAACTGGATGGAAAAAAGGAGCCTGTGTTAGTATATCTGTTCAATCCCTCCTGTAATTCTAACCAATAATCGGATTGTTAGCAAGAAGCATAGGTTTTGCAGTTTAATGTACATTGTGCACTGATTTAGAACAGAATCTGAACTGTTGACCAGCAGTATGTTCTAAGTGTCTAATATACATATGATTTTAACACATGGGCTAGCTGTTATAAACTACAAAGTATTTTAAATTACATGAATGTGTACAGAGATTTTAAGAAACTGCAGCAGCACTTCATACGACATAAGAACCGTTATTGGCACACATGAAGTTGCTGACAATCATTTAGTAGCTTTTACTTTATATCCTTTACATATTTTAGTGTGAACAGCTCTAATATGGCTGATTTGGAATTCATTCAAGCTCTGTCGGCGTTTTCTTTTGAACAGTCATCATATTTCAGTTTCAAGTTCACAACCGAAACAATACCACTATAAAATGGCTCCCTGTCAGCAACAGTGAATCCCCAGTCAGCTCCTGTGAGTATGAGCAGAGACCCAAGGGCTGCTAGAACGGGTAACCTACATCGTCTGGACTGGGTCACTGTGTCAGTAGCGACAACTCGCAGACACTCTGCCGCTGTGCGCCTGCGTGCCTGCGCGCCTGCGCGCCTGTGGATGTGTGGGATGGGTGGGAGAGCAAATCCTCATTAATAAAACAGAACAACTACAACAACCCCATCAGGACAAATAGAGCTTAGGGAGACAATGATACTCTGTTCCTCAAAGCCGCGTTCTCTCCTTTATCTAGTTCATCACTCTTCCGTATGAATCTGCGTGTAAATCTGGCCTCTCAGTTCTGCTTACAAATCTTCGCCTCAGTCTCCCGGTCAGCTACTCTCTCCACCCTTCACGATCCCTCTCTAACATTATGATTTGCGCAGGCATATTTTCAAATGCAACACTGTCGTTCCCCTCACCCCCCCCAACCTGGCCGTCAACATTCATTTCCACATATCTCCATCCTCTCTCCTATCAAGCTGTTTGGTCATCTTTATTTTCACATTTCCACTCCTCTCTCTCTCTCATCTATGCCCTTTTTACCTTTCACAGATGGCGAATGAGGCCATCAAAAAACATCTACCAGTTCTTGACACACAAGCTTGTGTCCTGGGGGAGACAGTGGCCCAGTGACCCTTGGCACCCACCTGGTAAATCCTCTACAGGAAGCGAAGAACCACGCTTTTTCAAGAAAAGAGTCAGCGCATAATCTAAGAACAACTCCCCATTACCTCTGCAGTGTTCCTGTCAGTGTTCCTGAGTAAATTGGCGGCCAGCGGGGTAAATATTTTGCAGTAGTTTAACTTGGCAAGTACTATGTTGCGTCATACTGTGTCAGAGCTGCCATGAAGTGAAGAAAGGGGCAAAGTTTAAAACGTAGCTTACATGAAAAAGAGGTAACCAAATTCTAGCTAACTTGTTACCTCAGGAAATGGTTAGCCAATGCCAGCCTCACTGACGTAAGCTACAATGAGAGGTGTGAGTGCCAGTTACCCAATTACTAATTGTCTCTCTCTCTTTTTCTCACTCTCCAGGGAAGGGTGGAGTGGGTGTGGATGGTTTTGTTGAAAGACTGCGAGACTCTGTGTATATGTGTGTTTGTTAGAAAAAGTATAGAGAAACAGAGTGTGTGCGTGTTTGAAGGAGAGCTGGAGAGACACACAACATCAAAATTGCAATAGAAGTGCCTGTGATTTAATTGCCTTCCTGCTGTATGAACAGGGATTATTTGTGTGTGTGTGTGTGTGTGTGTGTGTGTGTGTGCGCGTGTGTGTGTGCATGTGTGTGTGTGGGGGGTGGGGGGGAGTATGTGAGGACAGTGACTGGCAGCTGAGACAGCCACTGACTGTGAGCTGGCAGGACAACTGATTTGACAGCTTGACTTCGACAACCACAAAGCTCCCCATCAATTTAACTCTCGCGAAAGTGTTCACGTTGTCTGATGATCACTCAAATCCCCAAAACATAAAACCTGCTGCTGAACAAGTGAACCTAGTGAACCTACACTTTCATAAAAGTAAAGAAAAACCTGAGAACCAGTAGTGACACATTTTACAACACCAGATATCTTGAATTGTTTCTAGTTGGACATCCGGGATTACCCCTTATTAGTGTCCCCTAGAGGACATCATGTCCTTGATCCCTAACTTTTGCCATTTATTGAAGATATAAGTTCACAACGTGCTTTCAGTCTTATCTTAAAACAATGCTCACATGCCAATTATGCACGTTGAAATTCCTCCTGTTCATACTGACAGGGGACAGAGGAAATGTCAATTCCTAAGGGACTTTCTGATGTCCGTTACTCATCCGTCTCACGGAAAAGCCTCATTTCAGTTGTCTCAAATATAACAATCCACACTGACTCTGTGAGAATACTTGGCCCTGCACTTTTTAATGCTCCGAGTCTATGTTCTTTCTCTGGCGCGTGTGGTGAAGCATAATCTCCATAAATCCACAACTGTCTAGGACATACATGTTTTGAACTTGTATCTATAATCAATCAAGGCCCCCTTTTACAGTCTTCTACTGTTTTGGAACTGTAGATTTGGACCCTCATCTCTTAAATCTTCACAGCATGTATGGGGAGGAGAAACAATTACAGCGACCAATAACCGGTACTTCAATGTACATTATAGGCACGTGGGTGTTGCAGATTTTAATCTATCCTTTATTTAACATAATGTAGTGGGAGTGATGCCGTCTCCATATTACGTCACAGTGACCCCGTCAGACAACACAACGACCCCCTCCATTTCCCGGCTCCAAATCTTTTTTTAATGCCTCTTAAAGCCTCTTAGATGAGTCTATGTTGACAGACCTGTTATCGGAGCAAGAGCAATGACAGCTAAACTTGGCACTGACTGAATGGTGAGATGCACACTGAGTGATTAGTGGCGGCTTCACTGCGGTGCTGCTGGCTGACTTGGGAGGATTTCTGATGCTCCCTCATGATGATTTTCCCTCACTTCCTCTCTCTAGCTCCCCCTCCCTTCTTCTATTGCATCTTCTTCTATAACCACCCCCCCCCCCATCCCCCAGTTTTCCCCTCTCCTCTACATTTTTCATCCTCCCTCCAGCTCTCTATTGCTTTTATACAGGACATCTTATCCCTCCATCCTCCTTTCTATGCCGTCACTACCTGTCAGCCACCTGTCAGCCACCTGAACAGCGCGTTGCTATGACAACCCCTCTGCCCTTCCTTCATGGTCTGAGTAAGGTGGAACTGCTCCTTTTAATACACACACACACACACACACATATAGGGAAACAAGACACATGCATCCTGTTTTTGTGATCAGAGTGGCAAACAGGGTACCCAGGCAGCAGGATATCCTGGGGAGACCAGTGTGTGTTTGTGTGAGAGAAAGGGGTTGATTGACAAAAAAAGCAAAAGGAAGAGGAAGAGAGGCTTATTATATTACTTTAAGCATGTCAGTTGGTAAGTTAACGGGCCTGTAATTATTTTCATCAATCTTTCTGAGTTAATTTGTGTGTTCACAGCTGCATTCTGGCATTTCCTAAATTACAGCTAAGTCAGGATGACAAGGTTACTCTTCTCTTGTTCTTTCACTTTCCACACCCCAAATTTGTCCAGGCAGCTCTCAACTGTACAAACAACAGCAACTTATTTCTACTTTAGCCAACTTAATTGAGATGTGCTTTATTAAGTGTAAATAAAAAATGTATTAGTGATGCAGTTTCCACGCTCCGTTCATACCCACCCATTTTTCACTGCTCTCTCGGCTGCACATCCTGTCAAACAACTCTGCAGACAGTCACCTTGATACCTCAGCCTTGTGTTTACTCTCCTTATTCTCCTGTCTCTTGCTCAGTCACTCTCGCTCATTTTCTCTCTGCTGTCTCTCTCTCTCATTTCTCCCTGTCTTTTGTGTGTCTACCTTTTCAACCCCCTCACTTTCTCAACTTCCTCCTAAATCAATATACTTGATTTCCTTCCCTGTCTCTTCCTGTCTGCACTTCTCCGTCCCGAAGCTCTCTGTATCATCGATGTATGCGTTGGGTTAGGCCGTCTTAGACATCGACAACTGCAGAGTAAGCTACGGTAAAGTCAGGGGATAAGTAAGAGGAGGGTGTATGGAAGGGGACATGACAAGAATACAGAACTATGGTGCTTTTGCTTAAAACAAAAAGATTGCAACAGACAGCGCTGATATGTTGTAAAAAGGTATTGCGCATGATGTATGTGTATGAGAGAGAGATAAAAGAGAAAATGTCACTTTCCTCATCTATCTCTCCTCACTTCTTTCAGACTTCTTTTCCCTTCTATTAACCTTGTCAACATCAATGTAGATCAAACATTGGTGCCATATTGAATACATTAGACAAATGCATAATTAATAAATTGGCTATAATGGATGTGTGCATCAGCCATTGTTATGTAATGTATGTGCCCATGTATGGGAAGAAGAAAGGGTGACAGTAATACAGAGGGAGGAGGAGGTAAAGAAGGAAAATGAATAAAATATGGAGAGGAGAAAATGTAATTAGAATGAAAAAGAATTCTGTTTTGAGTGTGTTTTACATGTGCAGATTATCCACTGTGGGTGGACTATTTCAGCTCTGATGTATAAACTTAACCTAAGAATTCACAATTTGTTTAAAGAACTTACAGACCGTGAAAAACACCCATACTATTAAGGCTGACTTGCATGTAACCGTGCACTAGCGCACAGAAGAACACTGACACACAACAGTAGCCACAGCA